CTTGCATGTCCATTTGCTGACTCAGAAGACTTATGGGTGGTATTTCAACTGTTGGTACAGTTCAAATACAATATACTGGTGACAGAGACGGTCCAGATGAATTGAAAGCAAAGAAGTTTACAAAACCAATAGCACTTTTCACGGAAGATGCTCTTTTGAAGATTCGTTCGATGAAACCTTGCTGGGGCTCCTCAGATTGGCATAACGACAGCTTCCATCGAGCAGATTTTGGCAGCAGGTCAGTAAGTTGTTCTTGAACTGATTTTCTCTCCGTCAAATATTGACAGTACGCCAGTTTTGACATAATATTGTAAGTAAACTTACCTTTAGAAATATCTGTAAGTTTTGAAGTTATATTTTTGTCAACGTCAAAAACTTTCATCTTGCCAAGCCAAAAGTTGAACGGTCTCCATTTGTATATTGAGTTTTTTGACCTCCTGTATGAGTCCATACTTTCACATATGGCATAATAGAACTTTGCATTTCAGGGTTAATGGTTGTTGTGAAGTTGTTGTTAAAGTTCATAGCATCTAATGTCAAGTTGTATGACCTCATATCCTAGTAAATATTCTTCTCTTGGATAATATTTGCCATCTATGTTTATATGATATTTAATACCAGGGTTGTAGAAACAGAATAGTCATTTATAGTTCGTCTGAACAGTACAAACATAGTATCTGCATGTTTCATTGCAGTTGTTAAAGCAATATCTGTTCTTGCACCTGGGTCAGCACTTTGGTTTCCAACTTCACCTGCAAAGTCTTTGACAGATATTTGGTGTATAGGGAACATTAAGTGGAACTGCAATATATTTGGCAGCTAAAGCATTTTGAAATATCTGGGTCCAACATATAGACTGCAAGTCTGCTTTCTATTCTCTTGCATTCAAATTTTTCGCATGTGAACTTAACTGGGTCCCAAGCATCTCCAGCAGCATTGAAATAATAGTTTACTTCAGTGTTGAGGTTTGAGAAACCAAAGTCTAAGTCAACTTTGTCTTTGCAAAATTCGGCGAATGACGTTTTATTTGTTCCCTTTACGTCTGTAAGAGTGAATGGGTCTTGTGTTGGTGCAATGACTAAGTTATTTTTGCTTGGAGTAAGTTCGATAGAAATTTTTCCTGCCCAGTTTGGCAAGTATCTTAAAAACCTGAAGATGAGGAAAGATGACAAGGAACTCTAAGTTTCAGTTTTACTTTAGTGGCAGCAGTTCCATCTGAACAGAAAGGTTAACATAAACTCCTGGAACGTTAGGGTCAAGTCTTCTTATTTTCTCAATATTTGCATACTGGTCTGTTTGTTCTCTAGCTTGTGGTTGTACTGAGTTTCTCAAAGCGAACCATTCATAGTTTGCCCATGTTACTGTTTGAACTAAGTCAGAGTTAGAATATATCTTATATCCCATAAAAACTTCTGGAGCATATTGGTATCCGACATAGAAAATTCCATTGCAACCTTTCTTGTCAGACAACTTGGCAGAAGGTTTTATTTCAATGTCTTGTTCCACGTATAAGAATGAGTTGTCAATAGAAATAATATGAAACCTGTCGCAAGCAATATCTACTGTTGTTGAAGAACCTTCTCCAAACTCACCTACGTTTCCATAAGAAACAGCAGTTGTATATTCGTAAGTTCCAGGAACTATTTCTGACCTTCTAATGGCATTGTCGCATTCGTTATACCATTCGGAAACATTTCCGTTCATGGCATCCAAAACTGTTGGCGTTATATTCTGAGCGGCGTACATTTCATATGGGTAAAAATATAGAATAGTTGGATTTATATATCATAATTGTTTCGGACCAAGCTTTACTTTCTTCCTGACTGAGTTTTTAACTCTTCTTTTTCCTTCATTGCCACTACTTTCACTAGATGAAGTTACTTCTTCACTACTTTCACTTTGTTCTACTCTTCTTCTTTGGTGTCGCTTTTGGTAACTTGCCCTCTGCTTCAAGTTGTTGCATCTTTGCCTCATGTTCACCTAGTATGTTGTAAATTTCCCATGTCCTTTTTGCCTTTGGGCTCTGGTCGCCCATCTCAGGTAACCTATATCCTAGAAAGATTTTGTCATAGTTTGTATTTGAGTCTTCGCGTATTGTTTGCATGACTCTTTCCTGAGTTTCCGGTTCAAGCTCTTCAAATATAGCTTGTCCATATGGAATATGCTCGTTTCCAAATATATGTTTTTGTAGCCATTCTGGTTTTCTTTCCATGTTACCAATAATATCTTTTGTGAATGGGAAAGCTTTTACCCAATGTTTCAGTCTTGCGTCATTTATTTCTGTAGTTGGTTTTATTTTGTCAAGGAACATGTTTTTCAATACTAACATTTCATTTGGTACTGTCCATTTGAGTTTTCTTAAATATTCATCCCTTCTCAGTTCATTGTCTGCAAAGTAAGTTTTTATGACATTTTGTAAACTTTCGTTTGCAAGGTCATGTACAATAGGTTCTCTTCCTTCTATCTCCCTAACTTTCTTTCTAAACTCTTCACCAAATATACCATCTCTATGGTTCTGTGTAGTTCTTTGAGATAAATGTTCTAGAACGTCAGGTGTTATATTTCCATCAGCCATGTTCATTTCATACTGGTCCAAAATATCTGCATGTTTCATATCTTTCAATGGCATTAAAGCCGCGCTGAAAATACCAGCTATATCTGGTTCACCATTCACTTCCATTGCGTCTACAACTTCTTGGAATTGTGGTTGTAAGTTTATGAACCACCTATCCGGATTAGCTTTATGACCCCATCTCATTGTAGTTCCATAGTCTGCAGAAACAAAAGTAGGTTTGTTTCCATATTGGTTAGGTTCTGAATGAACTTTAAACAATGTTTCATTTCTATATGTTTTGGTGAAATTTAACCTTTTTTTTTCACCGAGTTCAGCCAAAGATTGAACGTTATATGGTCGTAAGTAAAAAGGATTATTGTATTTGCGTACATTTTCTTTCAGTACTTCCATTCTATGCTGAATATTTTCATCTGATGTTGGAGTCTTTTGTATGTCGGTGAACATTTTTCGATATTCTTCTACTATGTCAGCCGAATTTTTCTTAGACTCTTGGAAAGATTCCATATTCTCCGCATACACTTGTTGAGGGTCAAGATTTTTCGGCTGTTCCAAATCTTCATCTAGTTCTGTGAAGTTAGTTTCCAAAGGAGGGACTTGTTCGTTTCCTTCAGGCTCTTCTAGCTGTTGTTGCTGAACTATTTCTTCCATGTCTGGTTGTATCTGAACTTCTTCCTGTGGAGTTTCTTGTACCTCATCTGCTGGCATTTCATATATTCCGAGACCGTTTTTAACAAGTTCCCTATCTAAGTCATCCGGACTCATAAACCTTTCTTCTTTCGTTCCGTCTCTATTTTTTACGCGTTTCATGAAGAGAGTTGAATTATCATTTAGCTCTGACACCAAATATCTCGGAGTAAATTCATTCATGTCATTTGGATGATATGCTATTAAATCATATCCCTTAGCGAGCTTGTATTTTCCAGGTTTGAAATTATATCCCATTTGGTGCTGAACCATAAAGCTAAATAGGTTCGGGTCAGTATTTCCTTCCTTGAACTTTTTAATAGCTTCTTTATATCTGTCACTAAAGTCAAGAGTATCTGGGTAACCATAATCTTCCTTAAGCATTTTTAAGAATTCTTGGTTTCCTTGTTCTCTACTTCTTTTATGTCCTTGCTCTGTTTGTGGTTGTTGCTGTGCAGGGTTTTGAACTGTTAGTTGCTGTGCAGGGTTTTGAACTGTTGGTTGTGGTGCTGGATTTTGAACTGTTAGTTGTTGTGGTGCTGGATTTTGAACTGTTGGTTGTTGTGTTGGTTTTGGTGCATGCCTGTGTCTGTGTCCATGTGACGATGTAAATGTTTTAGGTAGTCCTGGTGCAGGTGCTTCTCTTGGAGGGTTTGGTGGTATATAAGTTCCACCAGCTGGCACATATGTTCCATCTGCAGCATAATGTCCTACCTGACTTTTCGTTTTTAAGAAAGCATTTACTAGGTCTGTTTTGGTCTGTTGTAACTCTTTTTCTTGACTTTCCACAACAGTTGCTCTAACGGCGTCATAGGCACTTTGAACTGCCTGTCTCGTTGCTGCATCTGTTATTTTCGTCATATTTTGTGCTACTTCTCTTAACTCTTTGTCGAAACCTTCAGACTTCAGTTTCTTTCCAGATGAGAAGTCGTTCACTAGTTTCACCTTACTATGAAGAGCTTCGAAGGCGTTCTTAAAGTCAGCATTCATTAAAGCTTCATTTGAACTGTCTTCATCCGCTTGTATTTTTGTCCTTATTGACCCTATAAGTTGGGCTGCTTTAGCGTTGGCTTGGGCATCTAACCAGTCATTATTAGCTTTTATATATTTGCGCTTTTCATTGCCTTTTGCATGGCTGCGTCGTTATTTTTACTTTCTTGTGCTAAGTTTTCATACTGTACGGTTTGGTTTTGCAACTGTAAAAGTTTTTCTGCCTTTACATTTGCTTCAACTTCTTTTTTATACTCATCGCTATCCATATATGTCTTCAGGGCTTTTGTTTTATTTCTTCATCTTTCAGTACTTTATATTGAGTAGTATGGTTTTTCAAATTTATAACATCTTGTTCCATTTTTTGCTACTTCTGCTGCTTTTTCTGACACTTTTTTCGCATATTCCTCTGTACTTAGTTCTTTCAGTTGTTTTCTTTCTTCTTTTTCTCTACGTTTAACTCATTTAGTTCTTTGTGTGTCTGTCATATTCTAGTTTTCTTTTCGTTTTCACTTATTTGTTTCTGTATGTCTATGTTTGACTTTTGACATCTGTTATTTGATTTTTGAGTGAACTCAAATTCATTTGACTTTGAGGGTTATAAGCTGTTCCGTCTTGCAGCTCCACCATAGCCTGCCATTTTCGCTAAAAGTGCCGCTCTTAAACCTCCACTCTGTGCACCAATAACTCGGTTTAAAAGCATAGGGTTGCTTGACATTTGTTGCAACATAGTGGGGTCATTCATAATTTGTTGTTGCAACTGTTGTTTGTGGTGTCAGTTTTACTATGGGATGTTTTCAATGCCCCTTCCTCTTACGTATATTCTTACGTAGCTTACGTGGCATTTTAAGTGAAGTAAAAAACGGTTTTTGACAGATGTTTATATGACACTTTTTGTTCAGCACAAAAAACTACTCGGTCAAAGTGTTGTCAGTTTTGTAAAATAACCGTCCTATCTCATTCTATAAGGGGAAAAGGCTTCTCAAAGTATACTTCCTTGGAACGCCTGTAACTTTTCCTGTAGCAACGATAGGCCCTTATTTGTCCGGACAAAGTTATACTATTTTGAGTGCTCTACAAAAAAGTCACCGGCTGGTCGGCTGGGGTTCGGTCCTCCTCTTGGGTCTTGGGCAAAATTTCTTAGGGGCTAGAAGGGGCGCAGCCCCTGGAAGCCCCACTTCCTTTTTTTTTTTTTTTTTTTTTGATAAAAAAGTACGTTTGGAAAATTCATTTTTAGCATTTTAGGAATTTTCTCACTTTTCTTCCAAATTGACATCCTTAATCAATTTTCATGATATCAAGCATTGAATGTAAAGAATACCTCAAGCCACTTTGATTTGAATTGAGATGAGGTCATAGAATACAGGTGAACCATGCCTGAAAAACAATATTAATATTTAAATTTTATTTATACTGTTTAATTATGATAAATTACTATAATAACCGCTTAAAATGAACATATATTTCATATCCAACCGAATTAGGATGAATATAATGATGATCTCGAGATGAATTGTAATAACGTATATGAGGTTTTGCCATTTCCATTAGGTTCACATTTTTGTTTACTAATTCAACGAAATCGAATTATGGAAACATTGATTTGTTAATGGAAATTAGTATTCATTTGATGCGTATAGATCCAAGGTGATGTGATTTTTGCATCCCTGGGATGGACGATACACCCAAAGTGTCACCTTTTTTGGGATAACATGAATTTTAAATATCATGAGAGTTCTGCAAACCATATGCACAATATCTATTCAGCCTGACTTCTTGTATATATGAGTTAGACTTCTTAAATATTGTGCTTGGGGCGATATAAGCATTTCCGAGATTACCATCGTGCTCTATAGTATGCTACTTCTCCCTGGTTCTAGCTCAGTTCCAAGGATATTGGCGTTCAAGGATTTGGCAAGGTCCTTCCGAAGTCTCTCATTCGATGAGAGATTTCGGAAGAATCTTGCCTTAAAGTACTCCAACTCTTGTTCTTTTGTTCCTAAATAGTGAGAAAAGTTATTTGACTACTTAAGGTAGAGATTATCCGAGGTCCCTCATTTGATGAGAGGCCTCGGATAATCTCTGCCTTAAAATTGTACACTTGTAGTCCATGAGAGTGTAAGTATACATTGATAGGACAGCTTTCTTCTGAAGTCTTAGATTTGATGAGAACCTCAGAAGAAAACTGTCCTATTTTATAGTAAAAGGAGTTTCAGGAGCTCCAAAGCTCCCTTTCGTAAGGATTAGGAGCTTTGGAGCTCCTGGTTCGTAGATGTGTTTCGCATCTTTCATCAGCAAAGGACATTTACCATCTGGGACTCTGTTGATGGAGACTCAGGAGCTCCAAAGCTCCCTTTAGTAAGGATTAGAAGCTTTGAAGCTCCTGGTTCGTAGACGTGTTTCGCATCTTTCATCAGAAGAGGCCCAAATGGTAAATAGCCTCTGCTGATGAGCTTCAGGAGCTCCAAGGCTCCCTCTCGTAACGATTAGGAGCTTTGTAGCTCCTGAAGGTAAGGTAGGATTGCTCTGATCTCTAATCAGTAGATGCCATGCCTCATTATGAACTCTACTGACAAGAGATCAAGAGCTCCAAGGACTCCCTTTTTAGTTAGTGGCGTTCTCACCATTTAGTAGGATTGCTGATCCTACTAATGAAGTGATCACTTAGTATACGTTTTGAATAAATTGAATTTTTTTTAGAATTTAGTATTTTTTATAGACATCACATGTATATTATAAATACATAAATATATTCTTTAATTCAAAAAATTCAATTCGGTTTTGGGATGGGTATCCCAGCCCCAAGTATTCAATTTTATTCAATTTTTTAAGAATTTTGGGTTGGGATGCCCAGACCAAAACAAGCTTTATATTTTGATGTGTAGATACGTATGTGTGCATCATTGTTGTGTTATATATTATGTTTTTAATGAAAAAAAAATCTGATTCAAAAAAAATTATCACTAATTAGTTGATAATATAAAGAAAAAATAGATAAATTGTATGTTTTGAGAGTATTTATCCACATTCACTCATATGAATTTCATTAAATAGTGTCTTTTTACTCCCAAATTTATTTTGAATTATTGAAATCAAAGAAAAAAAAATCAGAAAAATTTCTCGAAATTTTTATTTTCAAAAAAAATTTGGATTTTATATTGAAAACTGACACTGGGAGGACGATAGGGCTGGGATTGGAGATACCCCGATCACTTGGGAAAAATACGGATCTATATTTGATGAGTTCATAGGTTATTTGAATAATCGATTTGATTTAATGACAAAATAAATAGGATAATATTGAAATTTTTCCATAACCGTTTTTCGAAACAAGAAATCCCATAAATAATGAAGATATATCAAAATCAGAGATATCACGATTCTGGGTTTCAACATCAGAAAAATTACAGGCGAAATTTTATGCATAATTTATAATCATCACATAATTTCCTATATAATTTTTTTTTCAGCGCTGTGCAATTTTATATCATTGAAATCAGAAAAAATGATTATATCCCTACTCCTCGTTGAGCAAATTAATGTACATAAGTGCAATCATGATCTTGAAATGGGCAATATAACAAGAACGCTTCAAGGACCTAAATTATCTCGAAATCTTAAAAATGTCGAATGGAAAAACATCAGAATAAAATTAGATTATAACTACATTGATAAATCAAAAGATGATCAACGAACCTGCCAAACCGTTAGACAACATGTTCGATTCCAAGGCAAGACTTACTTTTGTGAACAGAAACATATTTTAACTTCAACTAAGATTTCGACTATTAAGGGAACTCTTGACAACGTTAAGACATACTTGGAGAGACTTCTTTCCGTAATTCCCTATAATTCAGATATTCAATATACAGAATTTAATGGTAACTATGGATACGAGACGAATTTTGGCTCCCAAACAGCATCTGGAGTTGATATTGTACTTGCGATACTTTCAAGACCAAGAGATGATGATGATTCTACACTTGCATCAGCAGCTGGATTATCAGAAGAGAGAACATATCACAGACCAATATTTGGTGTCGTTTTCCTAAATCCAATGGCAGTTCCAGAACAAGTACAAAATGAAAACTCAAAAGATTCAAGATTCTTTTACACTTGCGTTCATGAAATTTTCCATGCTTTGGGTATTTCATCATCATATTTTGATTATTACCATCCTCACGAGTCAACATCTCCGCATTCACGAATAACATGCAGTTTTACAAAATATGGGAGAAGTTTTACTTTCTTAGTAACACCATACGCCCATAAGTTTGCAATGAAGCGCTTTGGAGTTCAGGAATTCCAAGGAACTTATGGAAAATGTCCATCTGGATTAGAAATTGAAAATGATGGCGGTCAAGGAACAGCAGGAAGTCATTTAGAAGCAAGATCTTACATGACAGATTTGATGGTTGGCATGACAATTCAAACAGAAGCTGGACCATATTCCAGGTTGACTGACGCTGTCCTTGCAGTTCTTATGGATACAGGTAACTACAAAGTTAACTGGAGAATGGGACAACCATTAGTATGGGGCCACCCAGAATCAATTGACGGAAAACCAATTCCAAACTTTGCAATTGGTCCTCCACAAAATGTTTTCCCTAAGTATTATATGAGAAACTTCTCAGTATATGAAAAGTGGTATGCAAGTTTTGATTTCAAATTCTCCGGACCATTTTCAGGACCTGTAACCATTAATGGATTATCTAATGAACAAAAACAATTTTACGATCCGAAAGGCATTGGAGTTGGTAGAACACAAGTTTATGATTTCATTCCATTTTATTTTCCAAATTATGTTTGTCCTAATGGACAAGCTATCCTTCCATCAACAATGTCATATAATTACCACAAATGCGGTACATATACATGCGACGGATATAAATCGTTCACAATTCAAGTCAATAAAGATCTAGCTGCAACTCAGTTTGAAAGTGTCACATGCACAAAAGAAAACGCAACTAAGGAATTTTCTTTGCCATTAGGTTACTATCGCAGACAAGTTTCTTGTGTTGATCCTGAAAGATTCTGCAGGTCTGTGAAACTTAACGAAATGAAGTTTGTTGTTGACCCATTCAATCCAGATACAAGGCAATTGAATAGTGATTCTCCAACACCGACACAGCCTGAACCTGATAATAATCCATCAGCACCTGAACCAGGAAATAATCCATCAGGACCCGAACCAGGAAATAATCCATCAGGACCCGAACCAGGAAATAATCCATCAGGACCCGAACCAGGAAATAATCCATCAGGACCCGAACCAGGAAATAATCCATCAGGACCTGGAGTTGAAAATCCTTCAGGAACTGGAGGAAATGAAACAACAACAACAGGGTCTGGAGGTTCATATGAAAATTCCAAAGCAGCAGAAAAGAAGGCTAAAAAGAAAAAGTTGATAATTATTGCGGCATGTGCCGGAGTTGCAGCTTTAATTGTGATTGCATTTATTGCAGCTTTGGTTATATTTGCAATTAGAAATGCAAAAGAAAATGCATATCTTGAGGATTCTGATGCAAATTATATTGTTTAGAAAGGAATTAAAGAAAAAAACTTTTTATTTCTCAAATATTTCTTGTACTAAAATATTTTTTATAAAGAAAAAATTAAATTTAGAAAAGATATATCTCGAATTTATTTTCTTTCTTGATCTACAATATCTAATGTGATTATTTTTTTTTAGTTTTATCGAATCGATATTAAAAGTATACCTACTAATTTCATTAACTCAATAATTTTGATATTTGGCATAAAATCAAAAATCAAATTTAATTTTTTGAATGAAAGTTTATAAAAAAATCACTTTTTCCAAAATATAATCTAACTTTTAAAACAATAAATAAATAAAAAATACAAGAAATATTATAATTATTTTTCTGATTTCGAATTTTCGATTTCATTGTAAGCAGTTTCAAGGAACAAATATTCAGAAGTATCTTTTCCATGTGTTTTCATCACATTTTTGAACAACTTCATGACTTCCTGAGACAAGAAATTCTTAATTTCATCAGAATTATAATCTAAATTCATTGCAAAACAAGTCAAAGCAGCCAAAACTGATGTTGTTTCATCACTGACTCTGTTTTCATCATAATGAGGAATCTTATTCATAACGATTTCCATGATCTGTGTGAAATATTTTTCGGCGAAATCAGAACCCAACAAAGAACAAAACATTAAATAATTGAAAATCTCATTTTGTTCTGAAGAATTCGTGATTAAAGATACTATAGCTAAGTCTTCTTCTTCACGCATAAATGGACAAAGAATAACAATATAATTTAATACATCTTTCATCACTTTTTCATCTTTCTTTTCTTCTGAATTTGCGAATTTAACGAAATATTTCAAAAATTCATCAACAAAGTCTAAAAAGTCATCGTTTTCACTGTAATTCTCAAGAATGTCATCGTTTCTCATTACAGGGAAACCAATTTCTATTATATTTCTTGCTGATTTTCGATCTTCTTCTTTGTTTGCAAATAAAAGTGAAATTAATGGTTTTGATAACAATCTACAGCTTTGTACATAATTAATTGAATCCTTTGTAATCAAGAACTTGAGAATTTCATCCCTTAATGAATGGAATCTTTCATAAAAAGTGACAATAATAATTGATTTTTCAATTTTCATTGTATCAAATTTCTTTCTAAATTCAGAAAACATTGCAGATGGATTTGCTCTTGCTGTTTCCAAGAAAAATTCATCATCAATCTTATCATTTTCATATAACAAAACTAGTAAATTATAGAAAGGATGTCTGTTGGAATAAGTCATAATAATCATGTCAGAATATTTCAAAAGGATTTTAATTTTGACTGAATCCAAATACAAACTTAAAATATTGAAGACATCACCAATAAACAGGTTAGACTTATATGTTAATGCCATTTGTTCAGCCTTCTCGTAATTTAGAACTATAAATTCTTGGATTTTGTCAACAAAAACTTGACATTTTTCTTTTTGATTGAATGAAAAATCATAAATCAGTTTCAAAATATTTTTGACGTTCATTCTATTTTCAACGAATAATTCCAATCTGTCAACAACTGTCTGATAGAACTCGAACAGTTTATCATCATCAGTTAATTGTACTGACAATGATGAAATGAATACATTAAGTTTGCTCACAATATCTGTATTTGTCAAACTCAAATACAATTCTATAACATCATCAGTGTGTTCTGAAATAACCAGCTTCAAATTGGAGTCATTAAATGAGCTTTGACGAATCATTTTGTCGAAGAACCTCGTTGGAAATTCTTTGTAATCAGCATGCAAGAAAATATGGAAAAAGAAATTCAATTTCTTGTCAAAACCGCTGTTATCGTCATTCATCATATAATTCAAGAAAATTCTAGAGAAAGCGAACTGTGTTTTCATGAAGATTTCATTCATTTTATATATTTCTTCTTTCATATCTTTAGGAATATATTTTTCTAAATCATTAAACGTAACCATTTCATCATTATCATCAGTTTGAATGAAATTTTCTTTGACATATACCAAAATATAAGCGGAACAGTTTTCCAAAGTACCTTTTGCAGCAGCTTTTTCTAAAACAGTTTCTTGGTCGATAAAAGAAACTTCGCTATCATTGAATTCAATCCAATTATTTTGGATTTTCACATATGACAAATAATGTCCTGAATCTGCACCGCCACTGTGCATAATTATTCCATTTAATAAGTAATAGTTTTGTTTCTCATTTGTTTCAAGTAATGGATCTATTTTAATTTTCAAAGAAATGTCAAATTTGTCATTGATTTTGTCTCTTGTTCCTGTTCTTGTGTTGTATTCGAATCTTCTTAACTGGAAGAACAAAATTGGAGGACAAACTTTGAGACGTGTAAGATGTTGTGCATCAATCTTTTGTCCGTCTGATTCGTATTGGTTATCTCCTGTCAACATTCCTGGTTTAGCAAATCCATTCAAAGAAGAATTCATGTTTGAAAATGACCTCACTTGCAAACTTATTGTTGTAAAGTCTTCTTCAATTCTTTTGAGGATATTTCCTTCTAAATCTCTTACAGTCCAAACAGAAGATCCCTTGAAAAGTTTGGAAGTATCAGGTGGTAATTTATCAATGAAAATGGTCATGAATTCGGAAGCATCTTGTTGTTCTTTTACATTGATTTTCTGGGAATTCCATCCTTTCCATTCATCAAAGAAAGATTTCGGATCTGAATACCTTTGTTTGGAAATCAATAATTCAGAAAGCATCCTTTGTAAATGATGCATAGAAATGTCATTTTCAAATTTCTCAGTTAATATTATATATGTAAAACAAGGAAGATGAAATAGTTGTTGAATAACAGCATTGAAGAAACAAGTACTTCCTAAATTCAATAATCCAACACTTTTCGTCGACGACTGGTTGAATAAATGATAATCATAGTTAAACCGCTCAATTCTTAAGTTTACTAAATCATCAACAAAAGTGACAAAAGCAGTTTTGTAAACTTCATTTATTTCACTTATTTTCCAGAACAATTTGAATATGTTTTCTTTGTTATCTTCATTATCTGTCGTCAATATCAAATTAATCAGAAAAGTGACATATTCGTTTACAATTTCTGATTTATCTGCTAATTTATAAAAGAAATCAACGCCAAACTTGACCATTTCTGGGTTTTGCAAAGTAATCAAGTTAATTGACATTTCTAAGAACTCTTTTTCTGAAAAATATTTTCCAATTTCGGATTTTTCTTCAATTAATGATAAAATGAATTTGTTGTCAAAGTTTTCTTTGGAAATTTGACTTCTTACAATTTCAAAAATAACTGGTAAAATATCACATTTGTCAACGAATTCTTTAAATTGTTCAAAATTGTCTTTCGTCAAATTTTGCAAAATTAAATTCAAAAATTCCGTTTTTTGCTTCATTATTTCAGTTATTTCTTGTTGAAGTTCTCCATAAGACAAGTTTTGGATGATTTCTATTATATTAAATCTCATATCATTTGAGCATGTTTCGTCAACAAAAATATCAATTAAATTTGGCAAAATGAAGTGAATGTCACTTTTTGTAACAAATTCTGCCTCCAAATATTGTTTCAAAATATTAATTATTTCTTCTTTGAACTCTGCAGGTGATTCCATTTCCAAGAACTTTATAATTTTATGGAGAATCTCTTTATCATCTTTCAACAAATAATCTTTTGAACATTGACTTAAATTTCTTATTGATTCAAAGATATATTTGACATAATAAATGTTTTTGGCTGTTTCTAGAAGTTCTAGTGTTTTATCTTTTTCTTTCAAAGCATCTTTGATGTCCTGCGATGTTGGTAATTTATTTATCAAGCTAAATATCTTTTCCATGTCACTTTTTGAAATGTCACTTTTTTCATTAACGAAAACCAACAATTTTTCAGTTAATCCATGATTAATGAACTTAATAATGCTATTAATCTTCACAACATTATTTAATTCAATTATTGGTTTTGCAAAAACAATTTCTTCACCTTCTTTTATTTCTCGATTTTTCACAGTATCAAGAACTGACCAAAATTCACGAAGATTTACTTTTTCTTTGAAAACAACTGATGCTTGTTCAACTAAATCTTCTGCAGTTTCGTCTTCTGTAACTGTTACTTCTTCTTCTCTGCTTCCTAATACAAAAATAACATCAATTGTTTTTGGCAAAAAGTGAGGAATAATGTTTGCTTTGGCAAATTTATGAAAATTTGTCAAATCTTGGAAAAAGAAATCAACAATAGGAATAATTCTTATAAATGATTCATTAAAATTATCAATATTTTCAATGACTTGCTTTTCTATGATTGTAGACAAATTTTGTCCACGTTTTAATAATTTATCTATTGCAATTTTTGTTATTTCAGGATTTTCGCATTCTTTAACAACTCTAAATAGATATATAGGACTATCAGTACTTAACTGTTCAACGAAATCAACAAAAGAAGGTGTAGCCTTTGAATAATCATATTCTTTCGCAATTTGTTTCAATTCTGACATATTTGGATTATTATAAACTCTGAATTTTGATGCTTTAATGAGTTCATTTATGAAGTACCAGAAATAATCATCAATTCTATCATTATATTTCTTCAAATTCATTTCTTCGAATTGACTAAATCTTTGTATTTCTAAATCAAAACCAAGTTTTCGTAATTTTCCGTCACTTTTTATAAATTCTTGAATTACATCTTTTGAACAAATGTTATATCTCACTAATTTTGTGTATATTTTCAATGCGTTATCGAAATCTTCTTCTTCAATAAGGCGATTGGCATAGTCTACAGCACATTCAGGTATACTAGTACTCGAGGCTCTTTCAACAATTTTAATAATATAATTTAATAAAATTTTTTGAGAGTCATTACTTAGTTCTTTGTTTTCAGACCATTTTATTAGTATTTCTAAGGCTTCTTTCTTGTGATATTCCAAATTACTAAGGATTTTTGCGAAAATTTCAATATTATTTTCTGTAATTTCGACAGAACGTATTTTTTCAAGTAATTCTGGTTGTTTATCAACTTGGAAATTATCACAGTATGTTGAAATGAAGTCAGAAATGGTTGATTCCGAAATTTGTTGTTTGATACATTCATTTATGAATTCAGTGAACAATTCGAACTCAATGTTACCGTTTTTGAGGCAAACTTGTATAACAGGAGATAAACTATTGCATAAAGAAACACTGACAGGGTTCAACAAAGATTTTTTGATTTTTTCTTGCCTGGCCCAGTCTGAAATGGCAATTGAGAACTGAGAGATCCTCGCTATTTGTGCTATACTATCTGCACCGAGTAGTCTCGTTTTGTGTTGTGTAGAATTCAACAAATTTGTCAAGATATTCAATAAAGATAAGGCTTGTATTGATCGTAATTCAGGTAAAAGTTCGATAAATAGTGGCAATGCTTTGAATTGAAACTCCTTTAGCCTCTGCGGTTCTTTTTCTAAAATTGAATCAATTCCAAAAAGAAAATTGACGTATGATTGTAGGGCATTTTCGACGCAGATCTTGAATTCTGCCGCTTTGCCCGATAATTTGTAAGCATCGAATACGAAATAAAAGATAGATTCGTCTTGACCGAAATTATCTTGAATACAGTGGCTTAATTCTATAAAGTAAAACTTTGAATTTTCTATAAATGAATGCCATATTGTATAAAACATTGAAGTAGGGTCATTTTGTTGATAAAGTGCAGAATTTTTCGTAAAAAGAAGAGTATCTATACTAAAAATGGTTTTCTTATATGTATCATCATAAAAGAATTTGGTAGATAATTCTAGAAGATCACGTAATAAGATTTTAATGTCTCTATAATCCGAACTTTGATAGCTGCTGCTAGATAAAAGAGTTCGAAGGAAATCTGGTATGAAAAATGTAAGAAATGTGTCTGTTTTGTCTTCTTCTGGTGGATCTAAATGCTTGTTCGCAATGACTTGTTTGATTTTCTCGAGAACAAGTGGAATAATCTGACCAAACTCAGAGCTCGAACCACAACAACTTAATGCAATACATGCAAAGTCATCATAATTCATTTCCAAATGTCGAAATTAGTTTTTTGACACTTTACAAAAAATTGTAAAACAAAAAATGTCAAAAATTTGATTTCATCATGAAATTCAGAAAAGTTAATGTCCTTTCGGATTTTCTAGTAAATAAAACACAGTAAATAAAAATAGATTAATATTACTTTATTAAATTATATATGGGAATCTTATTCGAATAAATACGCATTAAGGTCACCAGATGATGAAATCCTTTGTGACATTTTTTGTTTTCTTGCTTTGATGATAATAATAACAGCGACAATTATTACAATGGCAACAAATGCTGCAGCAACACTAGCTGAAACTGCTATAATTTTCTTCTTTTTGGTTTCAGCTTTCTTTTGCTGATCTGCGCTTTGGCCAGAATTATTATTTCCTTCTTGCTCTTTATTTTCTTCCTCTTTCTTCTTTTTCTCTTCTTCTTCCTTTTTGCGCTTTTCTTCCTCTTCTCTTTGACGTTCTTCCTCTTCTTTCTTGCGCTTTTCTTCTTCCTCTTTCTTACGTTCTTCCTCTTCTTTCCTTCTTCTCTCTTCCTCTTCTTTCTTGCGTTTTTCTTCTTCCTCTCTTTGTCTTTGTTCTTCTTCCTCTTTCTTGCGTTTTTCTTCTTCCTCTCTTTGTCTTTGTTCTTCCTCTTCTTTTTTACGCCTTTCTTCTTCTTCTCTACGGCGTTTTTCTTCTTCGTCGTCTGGAGTACTTGAAGATTCTTCTTTGGTAATGTATTCTTTCCAAATTGCTTTTTGTGCATCTACTGCATAAACTTCTGTGATTGGCCATTCAAACTGTGTATTCATTAATGTGGCATATTCGCCAGCATAGTTTGAATACTTTATCTTTCTTCTTCTGACAAATGATTTATCAAAATCGTTGTATTCATTATTATCAGCTTCATATGCATAAATTACGTTTCCTTCTTCATCAAATTCGAATCCCCAAAACGTCATGGCATGGTTACCTGTGTTTTTAAGATTAGCAACAAATCCAATAGCTCTGTTCATTCTAAGGGATTCTTTGGAGATATAAAAATTGCTCACATTTGCTCACATTTTGGCACTTTTTTGTACGTTTGTCAAAAAATTGTGAGGAAGATCTCACAAAAATAGTCAAAATGTGAGCAAATTTTGAGAAGTGCTCACATTTTGACATACGATTATTTTCATACGTTTTTTTGATGAATTCTAATAAAACTTCATTACCACTTTCAGAACGAAGCGTAACTTTTCAGCACGTAACGCTCTATCATGTGTAGTGACATATTATTCAAAAAAACTCAGATTGCTTATCTTATAATAACAATTTCATTAGAAAAAATGCACGATTTCACGCTAAAACTTTGAAGCAATTCTTAAATTCGGATAAAAAATCGATATGTATTACACTTTAAACTTCAAAAAATGGTTCAAAATTTAGACTTAGTTTATCTTAACAATATAGCAGATTTTAAGCCGAACAAGTAGGAGTAATAGAAATAGCTCTTGAAAATAATTACAATTAGTAATATGTAAGTCAAAGTTCGAGTATTCTAATAAATAAACGTTCCGGATTTTCTTTACTACAAGAATCAATACTTAATATATAGAAGCAACAGTAAAAACTTATTAGAGATTCAAAAAGAAAGTTGACTAAAGAGAATCTTTTTATATAAGTAATTTTATTTTTTGAAATACGAGATCGAATAAACATATATTTTATTTTATTATATAATAATACGTTTTTACATAGTAGAAAGTTTAGAGACTGAAATGAAATTAAAAATTGAGAAAAATAATAAAGCTTTTCTATAAAAATTCATATTAATATATAGTATAATGATATTACAATTTATTGATCAAATAAAAAGAATATTTGTTGAATAATTTTCTGTTCAAATTAAAAGTTCTTCAACTTACGGTAAATCTATCTGCCTTAAAAAGTATTACGATATTATGCAAAGTCAATTTTCTCCAAAAAAATATTTGAAGATGATACTTTAAGTATACCAAAAATACAAGAATTTTGAGAGAACTCAATGAATTTTTGTGAAGGTGGAGTTAAATTGAGAAGATTTTTGGTCAGAGAAAAACAAAAATTACTATCTGATAAAATGGTATTAAAATGAAAAAAGTTTAAACAAAGGAAATGAAGAATTTATATTATATTAGAATTTAAAGAGTAAATATAAAAGATTGAAAGAAAGAATAATAATAGGATTCTTGAATGCAACATTTGGAATGATGTTTCCAGTTGTAGATGTGTTAAGCAAAGAGAGATAATGATAGTTTCTTGAGTTTTTGCAATTAACCATCCTCAATGACTATTGTTTTAATATAATTTTTAAATTTTTTAAAACTGACATTTTAGTTGTATATTTTTTCTAACAAAGGTACATTCACTAGGCGATAACAGTAAAATGGGATGAAAATATGATAAATAGCATCCCTATATAGTGCCAAACAATATTTATACGGGCCAAAAAAATTGGCTAGAGATTTGGCGAGTTATAAAACTTAGAAAATTGAGAGGGATTTTTATTTTTGAATTTTTTTTGGAAAGTTAAAATTGCGATTAAAAATCGATTTCCAGGAGAACTAAGCATCTCATCATATATTTAAATCGATAAAAATATTAAATAATAGTTGAATAGTATAACAACGTGAAATTATGGCTGAATCTACAGAAAAAATGAACATATTTGACATTTTTGAAAATTCATACGTTAGATGGTGACAGACTCATAAACTATACTTTAGCTAAGATTGATATATGGTTTCAACAACACATGGTTAAAATTGTAAAAATATTTTAGATTTCAAAAAGATATATATGGTAATATAATGGAACAAAGTCAACAAATAGCATGTTAAATATGTTATAATTAACTTTTTATTAGATCCAATAGTAGATATCGAATGGTTTCCAGCTTTATGGTTAAATATTTTCTTTTCGAGCTTCTCTTTAACTGTTGTATTAAGGTTGTAAATTTTTGATGCTAGAAACTATGGAATCTTCTTTGCTGCTGCATTTTTCTTGAGAGTTCTTGCAATTTCGAATAGATCTGCGCATTGTATGAAATTGAGGCTTTAAAATATCTTGAAAACAGAATAGGACTGCTTTTCCAAAGGAATGCTTACTTGTAAATCAGAGAGTTTCAAAATTGAGAGCAAGATTATCATCATAACTTTCGATTTTGCTGCGAAAAAGGAAGACAAGTAATTAACAAATCATTTACTGTTGTTCATCAAAAGAAGAAAACTTTGATAACAACTAATGATGATAAAATCAAGCTATCTTTTAATATTTTAAATTGATAAGACATTCAAAATATTTGAATGGTTTAAAATATTTTCTTTTAATTTCTATAAGATATTATCATGATTATATAATAAAATTTAAATTTTTATTCAAAAAGGCAATATTTCAAACTTTTAATTTCAAAAATCTTAATTCTGCAATAAGTGTATTTAATTGTAGCAAATTTAATGATCCTTCGTCATGCTTAGCAATTTGGAACTCATAAATTAATGATTTCTTCAAGTAAAATTCTGCATTATTTCAAAAGTCAATAATTCTCTAGTAACTTTTCTTCAAACCCTAACCATTATATTATATGTATAATGGAGAATAATTGCAAAGAAAGATAGCCGAATTTACTGGGTAGTTCTTGTGATGCGAAATAATTGCAAATTAACACATAGTTTTAACAGCATCAATCTCTTTTTGCTCTCATTTAAATGCATTCGCACACTTTAATTTTGAAATATAAGAGTTTTGGAAATTATCAAATTTATCTGCTCAAATACTATAGATCTTCATAAGTGTTAATAGAATCACCAGCCTTACATATAGTGTTTAATATAATGATGCACATCATACTGGGATTTATTCCTTATTCATCTAGTTATTATAAGATTTACAACCCCATGAAAATTTAAAATTTTGTCAAAAATAGTGAATGTACCTTTTTTCTAACACAACTATCAATAAATTGTAATATCATTATACTATATATTAATATGAATTTTTATAGAAAAGCTTTATTTTTTTCTCAATTTTTAATTTCATTTCAGTCTCTAAACTTTCTTACTATGTAAAAACGTATTATTATAGTAATAAAATAAAATACATGTTTATTCGATCTCGTATTTCAAAAAAATAAAATTACTTATATAAAAAGATTCTCTTTAGTCAACTTTCTTTTTGAATCTCTAATAAGTTTTTACTGTTGCTTCTATATATTAAGTATTGATTCTTGTAGTAAAGAAAATCCGGAACGTTTATTTATTAGAATACTCGAACTTTGACTTACATATTACTAATTGTAATTATTTTCAAGAGCTATTTCTATTACTCCTACTTGTTCGGCTTAAAATCTGCTATATTGTTAAGATAAACTAAGTCTAAATTTTGAACCATTTTTTGAAGTTTAAAGTGTAATACATATCGATTTTTTATCCGAATTTAAGAATTGCTTCAAAGTTTTAGCGTGAAATCGTGCATTTTTTCTAATGAAATTGTTATTATAAGATAAGCAATCTGAGTTTTTTTGAATAATATGTCACTACACATGATAGAGCGTTACGTGCTGAAAAGTTACGCTTCGTTCTGAAAGTGGTAATGAAGTTTTATTAGAATTCATCAAAAAAACGTATGAAAATAATCGTATGTCAAAATGTGAGCACTTCTCAAAATTTGCTCACATTTTGACTATTTTTGTGAGATCTTCCTCACAATTTTTTGACAAACGTACAAAAAAGTGCCAAAATGTGAGCAAATGTGAGCAATTTTTATATCTCGATTCTTTGATAAAGGTATTGAAAGCTTCTTTCTTAGGCATCCTGACAGTGTTTGTGAAAAGTTCTTTTCCTGCAAAAATGTCATGGAAAAATCCTTCGAAACTCAAATTACTTCCTCTTTTGATTCTACCTTCACTGGGAACGCCGTTAAGGAACCATCGAACCATGGAAATAGTTGAAAATTGGATCATATCCAACTTGATTGAATTTGTATGAAGGAAGGGTTTGTGCAATATATGGATGTTTCTTCAAATAATATTGAACTTCGTCATCATTTGTATTTAAAAACCATAAAAGTGCATTGGATGCTGATCCAGCCCAGCACATATTGTCATCCGCGTTATAGCCGTATTGATTCCTTGGATAATGCTTATTAACGTCGTAAAATCCTGATCCTGGATACCAATAAAACCTAGAATCTGCTTCTACAGTCCAATTTTCGTTTGAAGCATCGTAAAATGGAATATTGACTCCATGAACCCAAACCTTTGCATTTCGAAAATCAATATCTTTTGGAGTTTGCTGAACGAAAGAATCTATGTTCCTAAGAATTTGCTGCGGATCTGTTTCGCATGTAATATGATTTAGTAAAATGGATAACATGATAAATTTGATTTTTGAATCTTCAGAAATTTCAATTGATTAAGGGTGCACACGAGAGGATCATGTAAACTTCAGAATTTAGAACCTTATTTTTAGGCATTATCTTGGCTACCTATTTAGGCTCGAAAAGCAAAAAATATCAAAAAATACAACTTGACTCCATTATGACCCTTTCATGGAGGTAGTCTTTATCCGCTAGTATTTTCCCTTTGAATCTCTTTACAATTCGAAATCAAATTCAAATCTCAGTAGAAGAAAGGAAGAATCGACTTACTACGGTTGTAATACGAATAAATACATATATTTAATTATTTTTATTTACATAATAATTGTTTGAAGCTCATATTCCATCAAATTTTTAAATAAAAACATTAAAATGTTGAAAATGTTCATATATTTTAATAGGGTTTTGGCACTTTATTGAGGAATTACTACATACATAGTCGAACTGAACTTGATATTTTGAAATTTAAATTATTTATCAAAATTAAAATTTAACTTGAAATTTATAATTATTTAGTCATATTTTGCATAATTCTAAGTAGATTTTGTAAAAAATCAAGAAAGAAAAAATTTAACGTGCTTTATTTTTTCTTTTTTATAATAATACATATTATTATATAATTAACATATTCATAATGTTTCACCCTTTCAAAAATATAATCCTCCTCCTCTCAAATAAACGTACATACGGGTGGCCTCTTTTTTCAAAAAATTAAATTTTGAAATTTTGGGCTCAAATATTAGAGATTTTTTCAACCTTCAACGATATATGTTGTCTATATCAGACCTCCTTTCTTTTTGATACTTAACATTGTTCCTAAATCTTAGCCGTTAAGGCTGTTCTGAAAATATTTTTTTTTTCGAAAAAATTCGAAAAAAATTCTTAAAATTCAAAAATCCCTTAATTCCTGAGGATTTTGGAAAAAAAGTTTTTACATGAACATGTGTATATTATATGAAGTATATTGATAAGGTAAAAATCAAATTTTATTGCATATTCATCGAGAAAATAAACTAACGAATCCCTCAAAATTGAGAGGGTAATCCTCCTCCTCTCAAATAAACGTACATACGGGTGCACCCTTAATTGAATCAACAATCACCGGAAGTGAAAGATCTTCAGGACCAATTGATCATCAAAGCGGCGAAATTAAAAAAAAAAAGGTAGTGGGGCTTCCAGGCACTTCGTGCCATCTAGCCCCGAAGATGTTTAGTATAAATGAAGTTTTTATTCGGAAAATTGTTAGTCTTCTGGTGTGAATTCGGAGGACTCTTCTTCTTCCTCCATTGCTTCTGGGAAGAAGCCTTCTTCTGGGTCGAAAACATTATATAATGTTTCACTTTTCACAAATTATATATGTTTTCATGCTTTGTCACTTTTCTGTCACTTTTCGGGTAAAAACATTTTTATTATTATATATAAATGAATTTTACAAAACCACCGTTACCGTTCTTTGGAAATAAGAGTAAATGTAAAGATATTATATTGAGAGAACTTAAGAAACTACCGAATGGTCTAACATTTGTAGATTTGTTCGGTGGAAGTTTCTATATATCCCATTTGTGCCATACAATATTCCCAGACTCAAAGATTATATGCAATGACTTCGACAACTATATGGACCGTCTCAAACATATACCAGACACAAACAATATATTGAAAGAGTTAAAAGAAAAGATACCTATAGGTAAGATGGAACGTATACCATTAGATAAGAAAAATATTGTGAGAGAGGTTTTGAAAAAAGCAGAATATATAGACTGGGATAGTATATCTGCTAGACTATTATATAGTGGTGCTATAAGAGTTCATGACATTGAAACACTTATGTCAAAAGTTTTATATCTTAACTATACAAATGTTTTCAAAGAGGACATAGAAAAATATATTGAGGGTATAGAGTTTGTGAGATGTTATTGGACAGAGTTGTATGAAAAATATAAAGACAAGGAAAATGTTTTCTTTATAGTGGACCCGCCGTTCTATAACACATGGGATTTCAATACCAAGTAGACTGGACTTTGAGAGACTCTTAGAAACTTTAGACGTTATACATAACCATCCATGCTTTTACTTTACATCCGATAAAAGTGGTTTGGAAACCGTTATGAGATGGTTAGAGGACATACATGACTATGAGTTTAGATATGACAAGATAGAATATGAGAGAGGTCCTATAAACCGGAGAAAGTGTCATAACAAAGAAATTTTATTAGTAAGTAAATGTGGTTTGAAATAGGACTACTTGTTTTAGGTTTTTCCATTGTGTCATTTATTTATTTGACGTGGCAGAAAAGTACAAGAAATATGAAGATGAACCAATGCCTGCAAATGTTCAGTATATGTACTCGTAAGAGATATTTTTATCTAATATTAAATGGACGCACAGAACTTAGCGAATGCACAGCAACCTGGACAACCAAACCCAGAGAATATTCCAAATGAAGTTAGAATACAAACTGCAATGGCAAACTATGGTCAAGTGCCAACAGATGTACAAATGCAAACTGCCATGTCAAATGACGCTGCGTTAGGTTTGCCACCATGGTATGCAAATATGAGATGGAAAGAGTTTTATACAAACCCTGAAGTGGGATATAAACAACTTTATGCAGATGACGCGAACACAGGGGTTGACCCAGAATATGTTTTCTACCAGAGGAGAAACAGAATGTATGAGCTCCAGTTAAAGAATGCTATGGAACTCAACAGGAAACGTAAGAGACTAGGCGGACATTAGATTTTTACATATAGTAAAATGGGTTTCTTCAGTAAGATAGGAAACTTCTTCAGAAGAGTTGGAAGAGGTATATGGAATGGAATAAAAACCGTAGGAAGAGGAATTTGGAACGGAGTCAAAAATATTGGTAAAAGAGTAGGTCAGTTTGTTGGTATTATACCTAAAGACCCTGAACCAGAAGAACAAGCTCCTGTTATACAACAGCCTGAACCTGCACCACAGTCTAGTTGGCAACCAAATCCAACACCTCAACCGTATTAAGGGTGCCCTATAACGATAATGTAAACATCACAAAATTAACCTTATTAGAACTCGAATGAATGGATTATCCAGATTCTAGTTCTCAATATAATAGCCTTAAAAGTGCTTTTCTGAGGGTGGTCTATCGTCTATAGGGCACCCTTAAAAAATTATATTTTTACCGTTCGATAGTAGTTGTATATGAAACTAAGTTCTAAGTAAAACACATGGTATAATGGAATTATTCTTTTTCTTCCATCTGTAGTAAACCATACTTGAAAGTCTGAAATACTTCCACTTGGTGGTTCGTATAACTTTGTAGGTTTTTCGTAAAAGTCATTTGCCAAGCATAAGAAAGAGTTTTGGGCGCCAGAAAATGAAGCATGAACAATAATAGCAGCTGGGTCGAAAACATCTTTAAATAAATATGGTTCATCTCTTGCATATCGACTGTAAATATTTGCTAAAGGAAGTTCGACTTTCTGATTTAACATTCTTTGCAAATAATACCATGACATTGCAGTGAATTCTGTATATATTTGTTCGTCTTTATTTGGATTGTTTTCGTAGATTTGAAATGACACTTGTGAATTTTGTTTGTCATATACAATTCTCACATAAAGTGTGCTCTCGGTATTTGCATATTCATCAGCATATTTTGCATAACATGAATTTATTTTATCTTCTATATTTTTTAACGCAGTCTGTAGAGAAGATGAAAGGTCAACTTGTATTAGCTCAATTTCTTCCCACATTTTTCGTTTCCCTTCAGATATATAATCTATATGAAACCTTACAATAAATGGAAAACTTTTATCTTCTACAGACACAAACTTCATTCTACGAAAGCCAATAGCTTTTGTGACAGATGGGTCTCTTAGCCATCTTAATGGGTAGTCAAAACGATAGCCTTCATGCTTTACGGTCTCTGTCTCAAACTTTTGACCGACATTAGTAAAAAGTTCATCTAATGGTTTAGTTGTAGCAACTCTTGAATTTTCTTTTTCTATTGAAAGCATATTTTATCTAGAATAAAAATGTCGAAAGATATTGCTTCCATAAGAGAAATACAACACAACCGACAACTCATTATGCAAGCTCTAAATAAGAACACAACAAACTTTTCAAACTATTCTAAGATATCTGAGTCATTGAAAGAAGGAAACTTAAAACTGACATTAAACCCTTTAACAGATGAGTTTCTGTTTCAAGACAAGAAGAACAATACTGTCTGTATAAATCCAACAAAAGGAACTTTAAACGAGAAACCTATAAATGAACTTCTTTTGAAAGCAGATGTTGACAACAAAGCTGACAAAGAATATGTAGACGATGCAATAGCAAAAGAAGAAGAAAGAGCTAACAATGCTTATGCAACAAAAGAACATACTCATCCTGAACTAGCAGACAAAACATATGTTGACAATAAAATGTCAAGTGAAGTGACAAGAGCTGAAAACGAATATTCTAAAAAGACTCATATACATTCTATATCTGAAATAACAGACTTAAACGTTAGCCTTGAAAATAAGGTAGATAAGGGACTTATGGCTAGTGTGTTAGTGAAGAAGGCGGATAAGGAATATGTGGATGAAAAAGATAAAGAAATTATAGAAAGGGTTGACTGGTACCATGAACGGACATCGAAGATTTTAAAAACTAAAGCCGATACAGGATGGGTTTCAGGATGTTTAGACCTTAAAGCAGATAAAACTTATGTTAACGATGAGTTAGAGAAGAAAGCAGACAAGACTCATACACATACAAGTTTTACAACTGTTAGAGCAGACGACATAATACTGAACTTTGACCTTGGTTCAAGTGCACCTTTAGAGAATCCGAGTACAAGCGTAAAAGATACTCTTAACAATTTAGATAAGAGTTGCAGGAATATCGAAGATCATGCCAGAAACTTTGAAGCATATGAACTACCCGCAATGTTAGACAAGAAAGCAGACAAAAAAGAGCTTCAAACATTAAAGACAGAAATACTTCAAACATTATATCCTATAGGCTCTATTTATACGTCAATGAACTCAACAAATCCAGAAACAGTTCTGGGTTTTGGAACTTGGACTCAAATAGTCGACCGGTTTTTGTATTGTGCAAACTCTTCAAAGGAAACAGGTGGAAGTAAAACGATTTCAGGTGAAAATTTACCTGCACACAGTCACTACATAGATTTAAGTACATCTCAAGCAGGTTGGCATAGTCATAGATTTTGGGATTGGTCAGGAATGACAAAAGGTAAAGGATATGATGTTAAAGAGGACGTTAAGTTTGCTATAAATTGTTACTGGAATAACACTGAGGGAGGAGGATACCATACACATCGCGTTTCAGGATATACGCAAACAACGGGACAAAGTAAAGAATACATGCCACCTTACATGACAGTTTACGCATGGTATAGAATTGCTTAGTCGTCATTTTCAACTTCTTTAGCATATTCGTCAGGAGTTGTCTTATATTTGTTAGGAACTGTCTTTGAAAGTATACCACCTTGAACTTTGACAAGTTTGAAACGAGGTCTGACAATAGTAGTTTTATCTTCTGCTTGCAGTGTGTACATTTTGCCATGTTTGCCTAAAACTTCATAATATTCTCTTGTATACTTTCTTCTATTTTTACGAACACGAATGTGAGTACCTGTCGAGTTCCCATTGTTGTCATAGTCAATAGTATTTTCATATGGGTCGCGTTTAGGTATTTCTATTTTTACTTTGTCACCTTTCTGAAGTTTGAAGCCCGGCATTCTTTCTTGTTTGTCTCTTTTGACTAAATTATTAAATATATAGTCTTTCTCTAAGTCAGGGTTGTTTTTCATTTCTTCGGGGGAGTGGTTTCCCAAACCTTTTTGTTTACGGCTATTGTAAATATTTAAAACTTGTCTCATCTTTGCCATGGAGAAGTGTCTATATTTGTCGTCATATGACATTTCATTTGCTTCACCACCTTGTGGTTGGTTTAAGTCTCTTAACATTTTTATACAACCGTCAATGACACCAAGAGCAGAATGGTTTTGGTCGACAATGAAATATTGGTTTACATTTTTTGAAACGCAGATAGTTTTTTACATCATCTGATTTGAAAGAACTTTCACAGTCAGATGTCAGTTTTGTTGGATGGTATTTGTCAACGAATATTGTCAAAGCAGTTTCACATCTAAAATATTTTTGGACCATAATGGTATGGCTTCACAGTATCTTGTGTTTTGACCGACAAATATTAGCCAGTATGGTGGTCCATCTTCTCTATACCTCGGAATGTTTTCAAGATATCCATAAACCAAGCATTTGGTGTTGAACTAAAGATTTTTATCATGAGTGCTTTTTTTGTTGCCTTAGAAACATAGGGGTCCTTGTTGGATTCGTCATTTTTTAACCCATAAGAAATGGGTTTATTTGGCGCATTAGCAGGAGTTGCATCCAGATTTTTGCCCGCAGTGGGAACAATAGCCAGAGGTGTATTTGGAGTTGGAAGGAAGATTTTGAGTACATTAGGTATACTTAAAGAGAAAGCACAACCTATTATACAAACTGTACAGAAAGGTTGGGATGTAGCACGAGATGCAACAAATCTTATTCCCAAATCCTGAAACAAGAGGAAAAGTTCAAGATGGATGGACAATGTAGGAAGACAAGCAGGAAACTATTATAACAAAGCAAATGACTACTATAACCAAGCAGGACACTATATGGACCAAGGTGAAAGATTCTTTAACAGAGGATATAACCATGCACAACAATGGGTAAACAATAACCAACCTCAACCGCCTCAAACGTGGGGAATGTAAAGTTTTTTTACTGAGATGAAATGAACAATACAGCATTGAGACAAATGGGTTCAAGATGGATTTGTCGGCTTCCAGCAGTTACACAACGTGTTTGTCAAGTTCTTCCTATACCTCAGGAAGTTTAGACCGACTTAAAAAACCTAAACAACCAGTTGAAAACAAACCAAACTAAAATTTTTTACTGAGATGAAATGACCGAAGAAGTTGAAACGGTAGATTTGACACCACAAACAAAAAGTTCAGAACCATTGTCAAAACCTGTCAAAGAACTTACAGATGAAGAGAAAAATTCAATAATAGAAAGTGCCAGGTCTGGAAATACAAACCCTAACTACAAAGTCACTTTTCATAGAAATGGAACGGCAAGTATCTCAAAAAAGAAACAGACTCTCACAAATAAAATATTGAAGTCTGAAGGAGCTTTCGAGACAACAGATGGAAAAGTTTACTTCACTGACCAACAGTTCATTATAGAACATCTCATTGACTTAGAGTCGAAATATTCTAAACTTTACAACAAACACAAAAGTTGAAAGGAAAACAAAAACAAATGGCATATGATATTTATGAAGATGTTGACGACACAACTGTTCCTGCAAGTGAAGTAAAGTCAGAGGAACCGAAAAGTGACGAAAAACCGATAGAAGAAGAAAAACCAAAAACTGAAGATAAACCAAAACCAAAGTTTAGTTTCCAAACTAAACCAAGTCAACCTTCATTAGCTGGTATGGGTTGGCGTCAAAGACTTATGGCAGCAGGCGGTTATGTAAAGTAAAGAAAAAAAAAACATATTTTTTTATTTTTATAAAAATGCCCCCATATAGAATGGATAGAAAATCTGCTAGAATAAAAGCAGAGTTGCAAAGATATGGTTGGAGAGTTTCGAAGAAGTTTAAATATAGGAAGGGAAGACCCATAAAAGTCTATGACAAATTGTCTGGTCTTCGCTACGAAATGGATTTGGAAACAGCACGTGCAAATTATCCAAACAGACTAGAGAGGTTAGAAGAAGAACGTCTTATGGACATGCCTTTCGATGTTAGTGAACCTCAAGTTGAAGGACACGACGGCTTTGCCAGATTCTACTGGAAACATGACGAACAATTGCATCCTTTGAGAAGGAAAAAAGGTAGTGCAGAGGATGGTCATGCTCCCATGGAAAGAACAAGATATGCATATGAGAAGTATCGTGAAGTTAGAAGTCAAATTACATCTGGTCGAACCTTTACAGTAAACTTTGACGAAGGAAAGAACAAAGAAGGCTTCATGGGAGTACTTGCTGCAATTCAAGACGGAAATAAGAAAGGACACAATCTCAGATTGACCATAACAGATTTGGATGGTCACATTTACTATGCATATGGCAATGTCACAACAGCTGCAATGCTTCTTGACGCTTTCAAGACTACAAAGAGAGAACAAATGGTTGACTCCGACTCAGACATTTTGAATGCAATTGAAGGAATTGCAAGTGTCAAGTTCGAATGGTACCAACCTAACCCTCAAGCAGTCAGACAACATGCTGGATACTTCCCCTTCAGAAATAAGTCTGACATTGACTTGACAAGGTATGGAATTTACAATTCAATTGAAACAATTGTCAACGAACCTTGTATTCTCACATGTCTCAGGAACTCTGGTCTTGTTACAGATGAGAAAATGAAGTATCTTGAGTCATGTGTGAAGACAAGGTACATTCTCAGAGGTCAATTGGCAAAAATTGCACCGTTGGCAAATGTCAATATCCGAGTCAACATACCTACAGCTAAAGGTTCTTCACATGACGACTATGTTGTTGAGTTCAATTTACCATGGTTGAAGATTGTAATTGTCCACAACCACTTCATGTTGAACGAAAGTCTTACAAACCCATTGTTCGGAAAAGGCAAGTGCAACATTGTCAGAGCTGTAAACATTCTTTTCGAGAAAGGTTTGTTGGAACCAATTCCAGATGACAAGCTGACAGAAACTTTTGTACCAAAAGACGAAACAAACTTTTCACTGTTAGCAAGACCAAAAGTTGTTCCAGACAAAGTTCTAGTACAAAAGAAGTACACAATTCCACAAGGAGTTGGATTGTTCGGATACCAACCTGAACCAGAAGAACTTCCAATGAGGTTGCAAGAACTTCAAGATGCTATAAACAAACTTCCATTGAGACATCCAATTGACGTCAAATTGTATTGGAGAGCATCTGAGTTAGGTCAGAAGGTTTTATATGAAACAGGTTGCTTCGACGATGTTTATGAGATAACAGGAGAAGTTTCTCAGAAGATAAGAGACTCACTTGAATTTCCACAAACTGGACCAATTGGTTGCGACAAGTTCGACTCAGATGAAAAGATATACTATGTCGACCTTAACGCTGCATACATGAGGTTTGTCCAATATATTCCGACTGGAATTCCAAACGAAGATGGTGAGTTCCCGGGAAGGAACTATACAGTTGGAAAAGTCATACAACAACTGTATGATATTAGGAAAGCTTCAAACCCCAAACTTGCAATGACACTCAAATTGCTTATGAATTCGACATGGGGATATTCCATTAAGAAACCTCAAGAGATGAAGAGTAAACATTATGAGAAGGTCGACAACTTTGTTGAAAGGTTTTCTCCTTTTGTTTTGAAGTACGAATTCACTCAAGGTCAAAGTGGCTTAGTAACCACATTAAAACCTATTGTCGAACATTGGTCTTACCCTCAGTTCGCAAAGGCAGTCCTTGACAACTACAACAAATTCTTCTCCGAAGTCAAATCGAAAGTTGTGGTTTACTATGAGAACATTGACGCACTCATGACGAACGAAGAAGGGTACAACAAACTCATTGAAATGGGTTTAGTCGGTGAGAAGATGGGCTGTTTTAAGCTAGATAAGGTATTTTCCGAAGTTCATATCCTCTCCAAGCGTAAGTACTGGGGTGTTAAAGAAGATGGTGAAATAGTTAAACATTGCATGAAGTAAAAATTTATTTTTTAAAAAGTGACATTTTTTAATTTTATTTGAAATGTACGCTGAGTTTGTTAGTGAACCTCAAGTTGAAGGAAACTTGTTTGTTAGATGAGAAATATGAAATGGCATACCATTTTAAAACAATATATTTTTACATATATTAAATGCTTCAGGTTGAAAAACAAAGAACAAAAGTAGCAGATACAAAACCGTTAGACTATATCTTTACAAATGCTGGTAGGACTATTTCAGATGAAGAAATTTCATCCCGAGTATACAGGTTTGACTATCCAATTCGTTGGCTTCAAAGTCCTTCAGATGCAAAGGCAATAGGATTTAGAAGAGTTTTGTTTTCAAATAGAACTAACGCATTTATGTTCGCAGTATATTTTCATGGGCAGTATAAAGGTTCTGATGGTCTAATAGACAAATTTGACGAAATGAGAATCTTTACAGTTCGTTCAGACGAAAGTCTTGAGAAAACTCTAAATGACTTTCAAACTCAAATGAACAAATATTATTGGGAATTTCAAGAAAAATACGACTCTTTACTAAATGGAACATACTATCTGAAACTAGAATATGACAAGATGAACTCAACCGTTTCATTTCAAAAGATTGAAATTAACCCTCCAAGAGATACAGAGTTTTTATATTGGAAAGTAGACAAACGTTCTTGGGCACAATTTCTTCGGTTACTAAACCAGAACGAACCATTACCACCAGATGGTCCATTTAAATTTATACTTCCACCAGCAGATTTGACAGTTTATAGAAACGTGTTTGACCCTCAAAATGTTATGTGTCATGCAAGTTTCAGTTCAAGCAACAATAGTTTTCTATGTATTGGTAAGGACTTTTATGACTTTGCTTCTAAATTCTACGAACCACCTAGTAACAGTTTCTCTGACTTTCAAGTTTGGTTCACAACAAATGGTGTGCAACATATTATTCCATTGTACTATGACTTTTATCTCGAATTGTCTTTCATATATAACTACGGAAAAGTGCTGAAAAAGTATTGAAAAATAATGTTTATGTTAGCATGTTAGATCTAACACGTACTGCTTCAGAACAATATTTGTACTGCTTCAGAACAATATTTGTACTGTTTCAGAACAATATTTGTACTGTTTCAGAACAATATTTGTACTGTTTCAGAACAATATTTGTACTGTTTCAGAACAATACTTGTACTTTTTCAGAACAATACTTGTACTGTTTCAGAACAATACTTGTACTTTTTCAGAACAATACTTGTACTTTTTCAGAACAAATTTCCCGTAAAAGCTCTCAATTTGTGAGAAAAATTTTCTGTTTCAGAACAATATTTGTACTGTTTCAGAACAATATTTGTACTGTTTCAGAACAATATTTGTACTGTTTCAGAACAATATTTGTACTGTTTCAGAACAATATTTGTACTGTTTCAGAACAATATTTGTACTGTTTCAGAACAATATTTGTACTGTTTCAGAACAATATTTGTACTGTTTCAGAACAATATTTGTACTGCTTCAGAACAAATTTCCCGTAAAAGCTCTCAATTTGTGAGAAAAATTTTCTGTTTCAGAACAATATTTGTACTGTTTCAGAACAATACTTGTACTTTTTCAGAACAATACTTGTACTTTTTCAGAACAAATTTCCCGTAAAAGCTCTCAATTTGTGAGAAAAATTTTCTGTTTCAGAACAATATTTGTACTGTTTCAGAACAATATTTGTACTGTTTCAGAACAATATTTGTACTGTTTCAGAACAATATTTGTACTGTTTCAGAACAATATTTGTACTGTTTCAGAACAATATTTGTACTGTTTCAGAACAATATTTGTACTGTTTCAGAACAATATTTGTACTGTTTCAGAACAATATTTGTACTGCTTCAGAACAAATTTCCCGTAAAAGCTCTCAATTTGTGAGAAAAATTTTCTGTTTCAGAACAATATTTGTACTGTTTCAGAACAATATTTGTACTGTTTCAGAACAATATTTGTACTGTTTCAGAACAATATTTGTACTGTTTCAGAACAAATTTCCCGTAAAAGCTCTCAATTTGTGAGAAAAATTTTCTGTTTCAGAACAATATTTGTACTGTTTCAGAACAATATTTGTACTGTTTCAGAACAATATTTGTACTGTTTCAGAACAATATTTGTACTGTTTCAGAACAATATTTGTACTGTTTCAGAACAATATTTGTACTGTTTCAGAACAATATTTGTACTGTTTCAGAACAATATTTGTACTGTTTCAGAACAATATTTGTACTGTTTCAGAACAATATTTGTACTGTTTCAGAACAATATTTGTACTGTTTCAGAACAATATTTGTACTGTTTCAGAACAATATTTGTACTGTTTCAGAACAATATTTGTACTGCTTCAGAACAATATTTGTACTGTTTCAGAACAATGTCCGACGTACCACCAACCGAGTCCATTCCCAAACCAGAGGAACCTAAAGCACCAGCCCCTGCACCTCAGTTCCAGCAAGTACCTCCGAATTTCTACCAATTTCCACCTCAAGGTTACTACCCACCACAAGGCTTCCCGAACTACCCTCCTCTGCCTATGCCTTACTTCCCCAACCCTTGGATGTTCCAGCAAGCTCCACCCCAGCAATTCCAATCTCAATCCAAATCGAAGAGAGACCAAGAGTTCGAAGAAGGTCTGAACCGCTTACGCAAAGAGTATGCCACAGCTCCAATTGAGAGAAAGTTGTTCCCGGACCAAAAATATATTTTAGGGTAGATGGTGAGATCTCACCTGTTTTTTCACCTCTTTTTCACCCTCTTGAATTTTCATGACTTCTTCGTAAATGTTTTGTCAAGACTTCTTCGTAAATGTTTTGTCAAGACTTCTTCGTAAATGTTTTGTCAAGACTTCTTCGTAAATGTTTTGTCAAGACTTCTTCGTAAATGTTTTGTCAAGATTTCATCGTAATGAGCGTAAATGTTTTGTGAAGAATATAGCAACAGTCTGAATTCCGACGGTTGCTTTTTATACAAAATTCATGCAGGAAATTCTTGAGTTTTGGTTGAAAGAATACGGTGGAGCCAAAAGTGGCTCGACCTCAAAACAAGCATTTTATGAGCTTACTAAGGGTGTTATGAATGAATTCAAAGGTATTTACATACATCCTGACCTCGTTCAGTTTGTTGCTGAATTCAGCAAAAATAATGTTTAGGTGAAGAGGTGAGATCTCACCTGTTTTTTCACCTGTTTTCTAACATGGTCTAAAACTCTCGAAAATCATGAAATTTACACCAAAAATATAATTTAGGGTAGATGGTTAGATCTAACCTGTCTTCTACCCTCTTTTCTAACCTCTTGAATTTTCATGACTTCTTCGTAAATGTTTTGTCAAGACTTCTTCGTAATGAGTGTAAAGGACCCAAAAATATATTTTAGGGTAGATGGTTAGATCTAACCTGTCTTCTACCCTCTTTTCTAACCTCTTGAATTTTCATGAATTTTCCCGAAATAAAAAATAAAGTTAGTTTTATTTTTTTTATTTTTTTTATTTTGTATAAAAAAATAAAATGTCAACAATCGGCACAACAACAATTCAAACAACAGCACCAAACTCGTTAGTCATGAATCCAACATCTATGTTAGTAGAAATGAAAAGCTTCATTCCTTCTTCATATACTTTCGAAACAGAAATCCAGAAGATAAAGCAAGAACTTTTAACAAGTACTTTAGACTGTAGTGCGAAAGATGAAACAAATGAACAGTATCTTTATGAAATGCAGGACCTCATCGACCATTTGCCCAAATTGCCTGAAATCCAACAACAAAAACTAACTATTCCTGAATTCGACGAAATAGAAGTCAAAGCAACTGACTCAGTAGAAATAAAGAAGTTCATACGAAAGGTAAACTATGAGTTTCTAGGATTTCATTGCAACCATAAGGTTATGGACAAAGATTGCGACATGGTATATAAGAATGTTTCTGACATATATAAATCTGAAGAATTTAAGACCTACGACAACTTTGTTTCGTTAGTTGCTGAATGTGTATGGCAGATAAGAGATAAAGATAGAAGAGGCAAAGTATGGAATGAACAGATAAAACCAACTGCTTCAGATTTAAAGGAAACCATTGACGCTTTAGTTGTTTTAGCTGGTAAGGTTTCAGAATATAACGCAAAAATGAACCCGCAATGTTCTAAATGTAAAGCAGCAATGAGGAAATATAACTACTCCGTCAAAGAGATAGAACGTATGAGAAACGACTATGTAGACTTAAAGAAAGAAGCAGAAAAACCAGCAGAAGATAAAATGGACATGTTAGCATTTCTGAACAAAAACTATCCAACTGCTGACGATTTCCTTCTATCTGACGTCAAGAAGAAGTATAAAGAAACTTTCGGCATCGTTAAAACATTCGATGTACTAAAAGAAGAAATAGAAGCTACAAAACTGTTTAGGATTTCAAATATACATCGTACAATTCATGTAAAACGCTTGTGAAAAAAAGAGGTGAGAAAACAGGTGAGATCGCACCACTTCACCTAAACTTTATTTTTGCTGAAAAATGACCAAATTTCATGAGTTTTCCCGAAATAAAAAATAAAGTTAGTTTTATTTTTATTTATTTTTTTATTTTGTATGTAAGAACAGAAATGACAAACATTGAGTTTGAAACAGTTAGAAAGATAGACAATGACACCAAAGTGGTTAGAATAGGTGATTTAAACGTAAGATACTCAAAGAAATACAACAAATATTCTTTGTCAGACATTATATCTCCATCTGAAAAGAAAACACACGACTGGGTTAGAAATGCTTCAACTCAGAAAATTTTGACAAGAAATCCTGAGCTTATGATATCGGTAAGATTCTATGGAACTGCAGCATATCTTATAGACAAAAGTCTTATACCAATAGTTTTGTTATGGTTAGACCCAGTTGTTGGATATAACTTCATAACATATGGTTCATTCGATACGGAACGTTGCAGTGAAGGCTTACTTTACATCGTTCAGAAACCGAAGGACTTCAATACAAAGAGATATAAGATAGGAAGAACATATAATATAACTCAAAGATATGACAGTACAGTCAATAGAGTCAAGGTTGTGTTTGCTAATGATATGAGAGCTGCAGAAACAGAACTACTTGAAAAGTTTGAGAAAATATATGGTGCTCCCATAAAAGGTAAAGAAACGTTTGAAGTAGATGAGATAGATAAAGCTATAAAATTATTTGACGAAGTTGCTGAAAAATACATGTAAAGCGTTTATTTTTGGTCTTTTGTGAAAGTCAGAAAATAACGCTAATTTTTTATAAAATTTGACGAAGTGCAAACCTTCACTTCGTGTCATAATGTAAAAATAACGCTAATTTTTTATAAAATTTGACGAAGTGCAAACCTTCACTTCGTGTCATAATGTAAAAATAACGTTTACCATGTAAAACGCTTATAAAATAACTGGGGTAGAAAACAGGTGAGAAAACAGGTGAGATCTCACCTCTTCACCTAAACATTATTTTTGCTGAAAAATGACCAAATTTCATGAATTTCCTCATATGCTTGCTTCCCTCGGAAAACCGAGAGAAGAGATTCCGTACGAAAATCATGAAGAACAGCGAGTAGGTAAAAAACCCCAGTCGCCAAAACTCTATGAAAACAGTGAAGAACAGCGAGTACGTAAAAAACCCCAGTCGCCAAAACTCTATGAAAACAGTGAAGAACAGCGAGTACGTAAAAAAACGTAGTCGCCAAAACTCTATGAAAACAGTGAAGAACAGCGAGTACGTAAAAAAACGTAGTCGCCAAAACTCTATGAAAACAGTGAATTTCCTTAAGATAGAAAAAATAACGCTAATTTTTTATAAAATATTTTTTTTATTTTGTATGTAAAGACAGATATGTCAACAACAGAGAACACAACAACTGCTATCGTTCATGAAGCTATAAATGAAGAATATGAGTGGGTTCAGTTTAACAAACAACTCCGTCTCATTCGTTCGGTCAAAGACGATATGTACCAAATGCAAAGTATTTTGACAGCATGTTTTGCTCCAGATACTAAGAAACCACAAGACTGGTTTAGGAACCAAAGCACACAAGAACTTTTGAGCGAAGCACAGCGAGACATACTTTTTTCTGAAAACAGTGAAGAACAGCGAGTAAGTAAAAAACCGCAGTCGCCAAAACTCTATGAAAATCGTGAAGAACAGCGAGTAAGTAAAAAACCCCAGTCGCCAAAACTCTATGAAAACAGTGAAGAACAGCGAGTAAGTAAAAAACCCCAGTCGCCAAAACTCTATGAAAATCGTGAAAAATTGCCAAACGGTTTGAGAGGATATTATGTACATAGACTTCTTGTAAATGCTGTTGCAATGTGGGCTTCGCCTCGTTATGCTTGGTATATTTACAGACTTCTTGACGAAATTCATAGACAAGAACGTGAAGAGATGGAAAACAAGCTTGAAGCAAAAGACAAAAGCATTCAGAAAAGAATACCACGTTCGGTACCAAAAGGTAAGGAAAAGAACTATAAGTATATGATTTATACTGAAGAGATGGAAAATGAAGAAGATAAAGATATGGTTATGTTGCATTTAGTCAGAAGAAACAACAAAAGCTTTTACGACCTTGCTAAGATTTACAAATCTGACAGAAATTGGTTCTATCGCGAAAACTTACCGATTTCAATGACACCGAATGAAGATGTGAAACAAATAGTTCAAGATACGTTACCTCAAACACACTATGATATGAAAGGTTGTACAATACTTACCTTCAAAGAAGACTTACCGCTACTGAAAGAAAAAATAACAGAGTATTTTGACAACTTCAAACAAGTAGGGTAGATGAACCATTTATTTTTATTGACTTTTTACAATTTGAACTTTGTTCGCGTAGATATGAATTCTGAAAGAAGTATGAGGGTCTTGTATGACTTTGTACTTCTCCCATAGTTCATGTCTGTCAAACTTACCTGCCATGGACTCTTTCATAAGTTCCATGAAATCGTCTTCGGACAATCCGGGGAAAAGTACAATGTCAGTAAGTATTCTCTTTACATCCTTACTTAAACTCTTTGCTGTCTGTACACAAATGACAACTGAGATGTTAAAGTGTCTGAGCTTCTTAAGAATTCGACACATATCTTGTTCTCTATTCTTTAACAAAGGATGAGAAGCAAAGTCATCTAAGATAAGAAGACACCTATGAGGGTAAGTCTTCCAATCGTAAGATTGCAATTTCTTCGAAATGTATTCTATCTCTTTCTGTTTGTTTCTGAAGTGTTTCTTCTCTAATATTCTCTGCATTTCCTCATTTGGGTCTTTAAACTTCGAATTTATATACTCATTTATAGCATTATACTTCAAAACTCTTCTTTGGTACTTCTTTATCCAATCTAACAACTCAGAGTCTTTTATACATACTAACTTAGACTTCTTTATAATATCTTTGAACGAATTGACGGTTTGGTCAAATTGACCAGAAGTCGAACAAATAACAACTAACTCATAGAATGGGTTCTTCTCATCTAGTTCTTGTTGTTGTGCAGCCATTTTAAGATAAGTGAAAGTCTTACCCGACCCAGGTGGTGCAATTAGACCTGTTATACCATTCTGAGCAAATAAGAACTTTTCATGTATAGGTTTTATCTGAGCATTTTCTAACTTCCTCTTGTTCTTGTTTAAAACATTCTCAAATTTCTTGTCAATGTCAGCAAACTTTTTTTCTAACATATTTTTAGAAAAATTAAAATTTTTATCTTTTAGAAAATGTCTAGCGATTTCGCTATCTATATTCGAGACAAGCTTTTTGACAGCAAAACATCTGTCGACCATAAAATCTTACATAGTGTAAACAAGAAAGGTGAATTTGTTCTAAAGTTCTGTTTCTGGGAATATGACAAGAACCATAAAACATTACAAAGAGCAGTCTTAAAATTTGTCAATGACAGACTTGTTGACAGAGATGACGCCGATTGGAAAGATGAAGTCCAACAAAAGTTCTTAGAATGCAAAGAAGACACATGCGCTGTTCTTGAAGATGAAATAGAAAACAGAATAGAAGAGCTATTAAAGGACAAAGAACTTTTACATAAATATGGTTGCGCCAAATTTGACATAACTCCACCAGAAAAGAAGAAGAAAGAAAAGAAAGAAAAGAAAGTAGAAGAAGAGAAGAAAGAACCTGAACCAGTTCCAGAGAAAAAGAAATTTGACATGTAAAAATAAAATTTTATTTTTAGAACATTTCTGGGTCAATGTCAATGTTCTCTTCCTCTTTAGGAGTAAACACTGGCTTAGACTCTAAAATCTTTTTACCCAATTTACCTTGAACTTCTACAACTTTAGACTCATAATATTCATAGTCGTCTGTCTTCTTTGGTTCATAAGGTATAACAAGTTTGTATGCTTTGCCTTCTTTAAGGTTTGAAAACCTTCTGTCAAAACTTTCTTTGACTGCTAACAAACCTTCTATGTCTAAGTCTTCAAATTTCGCACCATTTTTAGTCACAATAGCAAACTTAACTGGTTCGATGTTCCAAACTTTGCTGAATGAAGACTTTTCAAAATGGTAGAAGTAAACATTCAAATATGTGAATGGGTCTAGTTCTTCTTTAAGTCCTGACATGTACTTATTTACTGAGATGAATTTTGCCATCTTTTTCTATCGGATAAAAAAATATTTTTTTTAAAATTTACTCATAAAAATTTTTCTTTGTATATACACCATTCTGAACATCTAAAAGACTTTTGACATTTGCCAAGAATGTTCGTTTAGAAGCTGTCATATAACCATATTCTTGACAATATTGTTTATACGAATCGTACAATGACCTTTCATCTAATGACACAAAGTCAGTTTCATCTATGAACAGTTCATAAACACTCTTGTTTGCTTCTAACAATGTTTGTCTCTCTTCGGTATGTGGAATTTGTCTTGGATTGAACTTAGAAATATCTAATGTCATAAAATATGAGAACAAGTGGTTGTAAAAGTCAGATGTCAAAGTTTCTGCTAAGTCGTCAAAATATTCTGTATCTTGCATATGAGCTTCTGACGTTCTGACAACTACATATCTTCTGTCAGAACTTTCTAACTTCATCGGAACAGCATTGTTTGAAACCATAATGAAGTTTGCAACATTTTCACAAACTCTTTGGTCTTTATACTTTCTTTCAACAACTCCAACTTTATCTGTTATAAGACTCTTCAAAGCATCTGAGTTTAAACTTTTGTTGTATCTATACTTTGAAGTTCATTGCAAACTATAAGTTTCATATTCTCAATTGAAGAGTTAAATTTACCGCAGATGTTTTCTAAGTTTGTCATATTAGGGTTCGAATAACCTTCTAACAGTTTGCATAAAATATCTGTAAAGAATGTGTTCTTACCAGTTCCTTGTTTTCCAATTATAATGAGAGCAGTTTCATTTTTAGCACTTGGATGTTGTAAGATATTTGCAAACCAACATAAGATATACTCATAGACTCTTTCGTTTCCATTGCATATAATTTCTTTGACATGGTCTAACCAAGCTTCTATAATATTTTCTTTCCATTCTACTTGTTCATATTTATATCCAGTGAAGATAGAATAGAAGTTTGGAGAAGGTGTATAGAACTTTATACCACGAACTGAAAAATCTTCTAACTTTGACAATAAGATATCCCAAGCATCTAACATCTTCATGCCAACTTGTACAACTTTTATTTTCTTAAGTTTCTGTCTACATTCTTGTTCTGAAACTATTGTTGCTCTTGGTTTGTTAAAGACTACATCCCATTCTTTCATAACATAACATTCTGGGGCAGAGTCGACATAAATGACTAAACGTTTCAAATTCTCGACTGCTTTGTTATAGTCTCTAAATGGACACATATTTCTGAATGCTTGGAAGTCATAAAAATCTGAAACATCTATTCTGTACATTTTTATAAAAATAAAAAAAATATTTTTTTTTATTCTTGACTTTGTTGTTGCATTTGTTGTTCTTGAGCTATTTGTTGTTGAAGTTGTTCTTGTAATACAATACTTTCACCAGTTGCATCTTCCAATTCGAAACTTTCTGCCGTCATTGACAAATACATAGGACATAAAAGTTTTACAGGAACAAAGTTTGCGTCAACTAATGTCAACGTTATACTTGCCAAAGTGTTTGAGTTCACTAAGGTTGAAAATTCTGCATTCGAATGAACAATAGGCAAACTAGCAGAGAAAGTATTGTTTATACGCATAAGTATCTTTTGGTCATAATAGTTTCTGTCGACATTCGAATAACACTTTGAACCTAAGTTTGAAACAATATATAAGATTGGTGTGCTTAATGTCAATGGAATAGACATTCCTTGTATGACACCTTTTCCTGTTATAGGAAACTGTTGGTAGTAAAAACCAGAAATAAGTTTTGTATTATAGCTCATATCGTTTATAGTAAACTCAGTCGGACATCCAAACATAATGAAACCTGCTCTAGTTGCAGCACATGTTACACCCGTACTTAAAGTATTAAATAAGTCAACAAAACCTGTTGGTGGTATATCTGAGTAAGTATCTTCAAAGGAGTATTTTTTACCATTCACAACAATAAAGTCTTCTGGTGTCAAAAAGCAAACAGGCTTTAGTCGTCATTGTGTTTAAGGTTAGTTTACAATACCGTCCTTGAGGACTTTGTAAGTTTGTTGTTATAGAATTATATGACTCAGGGTTTTTAGTCGTAATAGTATAAACCATTATATCTTTGCCATTTATATATATTTAAAAGTTTTTTCTGAAAGTGGAGAAGAACTTCATCTAAACTTTCACATGGCGTTTCTTGAAGTTCTCTGTCTAAGAAGTTCAAATATTTTGTAAAGACATAGAACTTTCCTTTGTCTACACGAACAAACAAAACAGGGTCTTTCATATCGTTCAAAAGTGTGTAAAGTCCTTTACATGAAATAAAGTCTATATTATTTTTCTTCAAACATCTTTCAAGAAGTTTTGACATTTTTACTTAGCAAATAAACTTTAATGAAATGTTGTGGTCGTCAAATATTTTAATAACGTCTGGGAAACTATATTTTAAGTTCAACGTTTCACCTCCTTTCATAACGTATATCTTGTCAATGACATTATATGAAACACCACAGCAACTAATGTCGGGTTCTATTTCTTTGATGTTTATATCGTCTGCCTCTGTCAAAAGTTTCAATAGTTCTTTCAAGACTTCATGAGGTGCAATGACATATGAGTTCACTTTTACAGGGTTGTGTTCGACCAAGTTTAACATTATACTTAAAGCCTGACAAATCTTTTCCTGAGTTTGAAGTTTGTCTTTCAGTTGTTGGTAGTCGTTTCGAATATCTGCAACAGAACTTAAGTCTCTGCTAACTTCAGGATATGTTGGTTCTTTTACAGGAACAATTGTTATATACCATCTTCGTCTTCGTATGGTTTCCCCACTTCAACATCTCTGTCTTTGACATTGACAACAACACTTTGACTGTTTGTTTGAGTTGGTGAATTTAACTTCACATCTGCCACCGCCATTAAACCTTTTGAAACACTCACGCTTCTATTTTTCGGAAATGACATTTTACTTAGAATAAAAAGATGGACGTATTCGAGTATCTCTTCGAATTGAAGCAGAACAAAGTTTACAACACACAAACAATACAAATACATTGACAGAATAGTTCTTTTATACAAACAATGGTAAATGTTATAGAATAGCAATATTTGCTGAACCAAAAATTTTCATAAAGCAAAGAAAGTTGGTATAACTGAAATGGTGAAAGTTCTTGACGTTGACAAAAATATAACAACAAAACTTACAGATATTTCTAAAGGTAAGTTTATCTTACAATATTATGTCAAAACTGGCGTACTGTCAATATTTGACGGAGAGAAGTCAGTTCAAGAACAACTTACTGACCTGCTGCCAAAATCTGCTCGATGGAAGCTGTCGTTATGCCAATCTGAGGAGCCCCAGCAGGTTTCATCGAACGAATCTTCAAAGAGCATCTTCCGTGAAAAGTGCTATTGGTTTTGTAAACTTCTTTGCTCTCAGTTCATCTGGACCGTCTCTGTCACCAGTATATTGTATTTGTACAGTACCAACAGTTGAAATACCACCCATAAAGTCTTCTGAGTCAGCAAATGGAATGCCAAGCCAAAAGTTTGAACGGTCTCCATTTGTATATTGAGTTTTTTGACCTCCTGTATGAGTCCATACTTTCACATATGGCATAATAGAACTTTGCATTTCAGGGTTAATGGTTGTTGTGAAGTTGTTGTTAAAGTTCATAGCATCTAATGTCAAGTTGTATGACCTCATATCCTCAACTGTAGAATATTCTTCTCTTGGATAATATTTGCCATCTATGTTTATATGATATTTAATACCGGGGTTGTAGAAACAAGAATAGTCATTTATAGTTCGTCTGAACAGTACAAACATAGTATCTGCATGTTTCATTGCAGTTGTTAAAGCAATATCTGTTCTTGCACCTGGGTCAGCACTTTGGTTTCCAACTTCACCTGCAAAGTCTTTGACAGATATTTGGTGTATAGGGAACATAAGTGGAACTGCAATATATTTGGCAGCTAAAGCATTTGAAATATCTGGGTCCAACATATAGACTGCAAGTCTGCTTTCTATTCTCTTGCATTCAAACTTTTCGCATGTAAACTTAACTGGGTCCCAAGCAGTTCCAGCAGCATTGAAATAATAGTTTACTTCATTGTTGAAGTTTGAGAAACCAAAGTCTAAGTCAACTTTGTCTTTGCAAAATTCGGCGAATGACGTTTGATTTGTTCCCTTTACGTCTGTAATAGTGAATGGGTCTTGTGTTGGTGCAATGACTAAGTTATTTTTGCTTGGAGTAAGTTCGATAGAAATTTTTCCTGCCCAGTTTGGCAAGTATCTTAAAAACCTGAAGATGAGGAAAGATGACAAAGGAACTCTAAGTTTCAGTTTTACTTTAGTGCAGCAGTTCCATCTGAACCAGAAAGGTTAACATAAACTCCTGGAACGTTAGGGTCAAGTCTTCTTATTTTCTCAATATTTGCATACTGGTCTGTTTGTTCTCTAGCTTGTGTTGTACTGAGTTTCTCAAAGCGAACCATTCATAGTTTGCCCATGTTACTGTTTGAACTAAGTCAGAGTTAGAATATATCTTATATCCCATGAAAACTTCTGGAGCATATTGGTATCCGACATAGAAAATTCCATTGCAACCTTTCTTGTCAGACAACTTGGCAGAAGGTTTTATTTCAATGTCTTGTTCCACGTATAAGAATGAGTTGTCAATAGAAATAATATGAAACCTGTCGCAAGCAATATCTACTGTTGTTGAAGAACCTTCTCCAAACTCACCTACGTTTCCATAAGAAACAGCAGTTGTATATTCGTAAGTTCCAGGAACTATTTCTGACCTTCTAATGGCATTGTCGCATTCGTTATACCATTCGGAAACATTTCCGTTCATGGCATCCAAAACTGTTGGCGTTATATTCTGAGCGGCGTACATTTCATATGGGTAAAAATATAGAATAGTTGGATTTATGTGTCATAATAGAACCCACTCGGACCAAGCTTTACTTTCTTCCTGACTGAGTTTTTAACTCTTCTTTTTCCTTCATTGCCACTACTTTCACTAGATGAAGTTACTTCTTCACTACTTTCACTTTGTTCTACTCTTCTTCTTTGGTGTCGCTTTTGGTAACTTGCCCTCTGCTTTAAGTTGTTGCATCTTTGCCTCATGTTCACCTAGTATGTTGTAAATTTCCCATGTCCTTTTTGCCTTTGGGCTCTGGTCGCCCATCTCAGGTAACCTATATCCTAGAAAGATTTCGTCATAGTTTGTATTTGAGTCTTCGCGTATTGTTTGCATGACTCTTTCCTGAGTTTCCGGTTCAAGCTCTTCAAACAGAGCTTGTCCATATGGAATAAGCTCGTTTCCAAATATATGTTTTTTGTAGCCATTCTGGTTTTCTTTCCATGTTACCAATAATATCTTTTGTGAATGGGAAAGCTTTTACCCAATGTTTCAGTCTTGCGTCATTTATTTCTGTAGTTGGTTTTATTTTGTCAAGGAACATGTTTTTCAATACTAACATTTCATTTGGTACTGTCCATTTGAGTTTTCTTAAATATTCATCCCTTCTCAGTTCATTGTCTGCAAAGTAAGTTTTTATGACATTTTGTAAACTTTCGTTTGCAAGTCATGTACAATAGGTTCTCTTCCTTCTATCTCCCTAACTTTCTTTCTAAACTCTTCACCAAATATACCATCTCTATGGTTCTGTGTAGTTCTTTGAGATAAATGTTTTAGAACGTCAGGTGTTATATTTCCATCAGCCATTTCATTTCATACTGGTCCAAAATATCTGCATCTTTCATATCTTTCAATGGCATTAAAGCCGCGCTGAAAATACCAGCTATATCTGGTTCACCATTCACTTCCATTGCGTCTACAACTTCTTGGAATTGTGGTTGTAAGTTTATGAACCACCTATCCGGATTAGCTTTATGACCCCATCTCATTGTAGTTCCATAGTCTGCAGAAACAAAAGTAGGTTTGTTTCCATCTTGGTTAGGTTCTGAATGAACTTTAAACAATGTTTCATTTCTATATGTTTTGGTGAAATTTAACCTTTTATTTTCACCGAGTTCAGCCAAAGATTGAACGTTATATGGTCGTAAGTAAAAAGGATTGTTGTATTTGCGTACACTTTCTTTCAGTTCTTCCATTCTATGCTGAATATTTTCATCTGATGTTGGAGTCTTTTGTATGTCGGCGAACATTTTTCGATATTCTTCTACTATGTCAGCCGAATTTTTCTTAGACTCTTGGAAAGATTCCATATTCTCCGCATACTCTTGTTGAGGGTCAAGATTTTTCGGCTGTTCCAAATCTTCATCTAGTTCTGTGAAGTTAGTTTCCAAAGGAGGGACTTGTTCGTTTCCTTCAGGCTCTTCTAGCTGTTGTTGCTGAACTATTTCTTCCATGTCTGGTTGTATCTGAACTTCTTCCTGTTGAGTTTCTTGTACCTCATCTGCTGGCATTTCATATATTCCGAGACCGTTTTTAACAAGTTCCCTATTTAAGCCATCCGCATTCATAACCCTTTCTTCTTTCGTTCCGTCTCTATTTTTTACGCGTTTCATGAAGATAGTTGAATTATCATTTATCTCTGACACCAAATATCTCGGAGTAAATTCATCCATGTCATTTGGATGATATGCTATTAAATCATATCCCTTAGCGAGCTTGTATTTTCCAGGTTTGAAATTATATCCCATTTGGTGCTGAACCATAAAGCTAAATAGGTTCGGGTCAGTATTTCCTTCCTTGAACTTTCTAATAGCTTCTTTATATCTGTCACTAAAGTCAAGAGTATCTGGGTAACCATAGTCTTCCTTAAGCATTTTTAAGAATTCTTGGTTTCCTTGTTCTCTACTTCTTTTATGTCCTTGCTCTGTTTGTGGTTGTTGCTGTGCAGTGTTTTGAACTGTTGGTTGTGGTGCAGTGTTTTGAACTGTTGGTTGTGGTGCAGTGTTTTGAACTGTTGGTTGTGGTGCAGTGTTTTGAACTGTTGGTTGTGGTGTTGGTTGTTGTGTTGGTTTTGGTGCATGCCTGTGTCTGTGTCCATGTGACGATGTAAATGTTTTAGGTAGTCCTGGTGCAGGTGCTTCTCTTGGAGGGTTTGGTGGTATATAAGTTCCACCAGCTGGCACATATGTTCCATCTGCAGCATAATATCCTACCTGACTTTTCGTTCTTAAGAAAGCATTTACTAGGTCTGTTTTGGTCTGTTGTAACTCTTTTTCTTGACTTTCCACAACAGTTGCTCTAACGGCGTCATAGGCACTTTGAACTGCCTGTCTCGTTGCTGCATCTGTTATTTTCGTCATATTTTGTGCTACTTCTCTTAACTCGTTGTCGAAACCTTCAGACTTCAGTTTCTTTCCAGATGAGAAGTCGTTCACTAGTTTCACCTTACTATGAAGAGCTTCGAAGGCGTTCTTAAAGTCAGCATTCATTAAAGCTTCATTTGAACTGTCTTCATCCGCTTGTATTTTTGTCCTTATTGACCCTATAAGTTGGGCTGCTTTAGCGTTGGCTTGGGCATCTAACCAGTCATTATTAGCTTTTATATATTCTGCGCTTTTCATTGCCTTTTGCATGGCTGCGTCGTTATTTTTACTTTCTTGTGCTAAGTTTTCATACTGTACGGTTTGGTTTTGCAACTGTAAAAGTTTTTCTGCCTTTACATTTGCTTCAACTTCTTTTTTATACTCATCGCTATCCATATATGTCTTCAGGGCTTTTTGTTTTATTTCTTCATCTTTCAGTACTTTATATTGAGTAGTATGGTTTTTCAAATTTATAACATCTTGTTCCATTTTTGCTACTTCTGCTGCTTTTTCTGACACTTTTTTCGCATATTCCTCTGTACTTAGTTCTTTCAGTTGTTCTTCTTTCTTCTTTTTCTCTACTTTTAACTCATTGAGTTTCTTTGTGTGTCTGTCATATTCTAGTTTCTTTTCGTTTTCACTTATTTGTTTCTGTATGTCTATGTTTGACTTTTTGACATCTGTTATTTGATTTTTGAGTGAACTCAAATTCATTTGACTTTGAGGGTTATAAGCTGTTCCGTCTGCAGCTCCACCATAGCCTGCCATTTTCGCTAAAAGTGCCGCTCTTAAACCTCCACTCTGTGCACCAATAACTCGGTTTAAAAGCATAGGGTTGCTTGACATTTGTTGCAACATAGTGGGGTCATTCATCATTTGTTGTTGCAACTGTTGTTGTGGTGTCAGTTTTACTATTGGATGTTTCAATGCTCCCTTCCTCTTACGTATATTCTTACGTAGCTTACGTGGCATTTTAAGTGAAGTTAAAAAGCGGTTTTTGACAGATGTTTATATGACACTTTTTGTTCAGCACAAAAAACTACTCGGTCAAAGTGTTGTCAGTTTTGTAAAATAACCGTCCTATCTCATTCTATAAGGGGGAAAGTCTTCTCAAAGTATACTTCCTTGGAACGCCCGTAACTTTTCCTGTAGCGACGATAGACCCTTACTTGTCCGGACAAAGTTATACTAAACATCTTCAGGGCTAGAGGGCACGAAGTGCCTGGAGGCCCCACTACCTTTTTTTTTTTTTTTTAAATTATTATTCGAAATGTAAATATTACTAATTCACAAGTATCAGCTAATTCAGTCTACTATATTTCAGGAAATAGAGATTTGAATGCAACTATTTCATATTCAACATTTATTAAAAATAATGCTAATGGTAATAATTGTTTATCACATAAATCATTTAGAGTTAACATTAGCCATTGCAATATTCTTTCAAATGAATGTAGTACCCAAGGAGAAAGTACAGTTTTTTATGCATCTCAAAATGCCAATGTTTTAATTACAGAGTGTATTATAAGATCCAACTCAGGAAGTTATCTATTTTATGCATCTGGTGCTTCGATTTCAGTTTCTTCTTGTTTCCTCCAATCAAATACTGGAACAAATTCTAGATCTGTTTACATATCAACAACTGATTCACTTACGATTGAAAATTCGCATTTATCTACAGCACTTTGCTATCCTGCTCTTCCAATTTATAATTTGATGAATATTACAACACGCAAAACTATATATAAATTCGGAGAAGATTCAACTATTACAGGAACAATTTCATTTGATAGAATTAAAGAAGAACCATTCACACTTAAAATCAAGATTGGCAACAATGATCTAGATCCAATACTCACGAATAATATTAGATCTTCAACATATGGATATTCAATCAACATCCAAGATCCTTATAACACTGGAAACTATACTATTTCAGCTAGTGTAATTTATTCAAATGGTATTGAATCAAACACAGTTTCAGTTGATTTTGAATATGAAGTTCCATTTGTCCTTAATTTAGAAGATATAGAACAACGTCCATACAACAAAACTCTTGATAAAAATATCACAGTTAAAGGAAGTAGAATTTACTCACATGGTGATATTTATATTAATTGCAGTATTGGAGATGCAAATAGTACATTCGAAGGAAAAATAGATAAGAAATGGACAACACATCAATATAATTTTTCAGGTGTTTGTTTGATTCCAGATTCCATTGTAGAAGAAACAACATATTCTGTTGCAGTTTGGGTAACTTATAAAAATATTAGAGGAAGTACAGGACCAAAATCAAAAGAATTCCAATTCTATCGAAATTATTCAGTTCTAAAAATTTCAGATTCAATCAATGAAAAATATTTCTACAATTTAGACAGTAACATTTCAGTATCAGGATTTGTTTCAGATCTTGATCATTATGATGAAGTTGAAATCAAAGGAAACATTGAAGGATATCCAAATAGTCAAACAACGAAAAATGTTACTATTTCAGATTTAAATAATCAATCATTCACGATCAATGTTCCTATTCCAAACAATCTTACAATCAAAGAACATAATCTTCTGATCACAAGTTGTGATAACAAAAATAAATGTGATTCAATTATCAAAACATTTAATTACTCATACAACACTCCAGAAATTAAAATATTAAAGCAACCATATTTTCCAGTCCATATTAATTACACACGTAATCTTAACTTTACACTTTCAGTTTCAGACGAAGACAAGAGTGATACTATTTATATTTTCCATATTTTCAACAACACTATTAGTGGAAACAATGTTAACATTACTCTTTCCAATGAAATAACAAAAGAAGTTAAATATTCAATTCCTATTCCAAATGACATCAGTGTAGGTATATATCCAATTGATTTTTATGCAGTTGATGAACACGATCTTCAATCAAAAATTATCTCAATCAATGCAACAATTAGTTATATGACAGAAGATTTACGATATTTTTCACATAAAATTTATCGCCGCTGATTAAATCAAATCAGGTAATTAAATTAAAATTCAGGAAGATATAATTAAAGCGATGTTTATTATGACAGATCAGTTTACTTATATCTTCCAAAAGTATCTATTATAATTCATGAACTCATACTTAAAAAAAGTTCAAATTTCATCATATCATTTTGTTTCTATTTACTCCATTTTATTTATTCACCCTTATTACTGTTTAAGAAATAAATATTATTCATTCATCCTTTTTAAATAATTTTATTTACTTGAAATATTTTCATCCATAATGATTCGTCATCATTCTTTTATTGGCAAGATTTAAAAATTTGTTGTACCTATAGTTTATTAATATTTTAAAATTCCATGCAGTGTTAATGAGCCGAATTCTTTGAACTGAAATCATTTCAGTTCAAAGAAATTGTTGTGCTTGATCAGAAGAAAATATACCCAGATTTTCCTTACTTTTACCACCCCTCTAAAGCTGGGGACACCGCCTATCGTTGGGAGTAGCTATTAAATAGAACCACCAAGGGTATTTTTCGAACTGCCGGTGTAGTGGAAACATCCGACATAATGATTCATTATGCCAAGGTTTGATTCCCATTTAGCAAATTTTTTTCTTTTTTGGATCATGAATTTTTTTTTGGGTCACTATAAGATTTGTTTCATGTTCTAAATCTGCTGCATATGTAATCTATTTTTATTTACCTATTTTTTAAAAATCTATTGGATTGCCAAATTTGAATATATTTAAAATCATAAAACTCCAAAAAAACTATAAATATATGTTTTATGCATAGTGCCGATACTCAAATATCACATTACTTAGATCCATGAATAATATCCGAATTTTTTTTCTTAAAATTAAACTTCAAAACTTCTTGCAATCTTATTCTTCATCAATTGTAAATTTTTAAAACCATTTTTTAAAATAATTTTGCGTAAATTTTATTCTCATGTTGTTTTAATCGAAAATTGATACATTTTCAAAAAAATAATATTGACTTATGAAATTCATTTTTAAGGTGAAATAGTATTGTTTTTATTAAAGTATATGAATAATATATAAAAAATTAATGAATAATATAAGCAGATTTTTAGTTTACAAAACAAATATGAGCAATGCAATTTCAAACTTTTGCTGGCAATTTCGATATTGCTCAAGTTTGTAGTATTTGTGATACCTATAACATCGGCTTAATCAAAATTCGATTTTTCTTATGAGTTATTGAGAAAATTTGATTGCAATGAGAAGGATTTCGACGTTTTTGATAAACTAAGAGCTGAGCTTTAGGGGTTCAGTTCATTTATGGCTGTAGTTTGATGCGTAGATCTCTTTTTTATTGTAAATTCTTTCAGCATGGAGATCGAGAATGAATCTTTTGAGAACTTTATGAGTTTTTACACCCGTAAAGAGGTCCTTCGAGGAAAGATAGTCCAGACTACATGAAGATGTGGGTTAACCAAAAAAATCCGATGGTTTCCCCATATTCATGTAGATCTTCGAAAAAACGAGCACCAAAAAAGCCAAAAAAATAGGCTTTTTATTGGATTTGTACATTAGATCAATAATCTATTTAGGATCTGACACTCTTTTTAGCCAGAGATATGAGGTCCTTTCAAGGAAAACGATCTATTCATCCATAAAAAAAATGAATTATCGTTTTCCCCAGAAATTACATGGGGAGTGGTAAAAGTAAGGAAAATCTGGGTAATATGAATTTCGATTATATTCAATCATTTTTTGAAATTCTAAAAAGAAATAATTAAACCAATTGGTGTGATATCTTATACAATGAATTAATAACTTGGATCTCAAACGTTTATTAATCGAAATTAAATTGAGAAACAATTAAACATTAAAAGTAGTATTATTGTATTTACATACTGTGTATATCTGATATCTTGGCTCAAATTCGTATATATCGCAAAATTTGAGAAAAATCATTTTAAAAATTATTATCGGTTATAATCTAAAAATTTTACTTACACTTAAATAACATCACAGTTATAATCTTTGTGGCTCGAAAATACTTTTTTCAACTGTAATGTCACTTTTCAGGCATAACGATCAGAATTTTTTCCATTAAATATAAAAACATTTAAAACAAAATAAGTTTTAATAATTCTGAGCGGTTATGAAATAATTTTTGAAAAATAAATTCAAAAATATTTCTTCAAGTTCCCTGCGACTGGTCTTAATCCAAGTCATGAACTCTTTACCTTAAATCATATTTACATGATACTTTTGGTTACACGATAACAATTTCTCCACAAGTCCAGTAATCAAGGATAAAAATATATTTTCAAGCTGATCATGAATCGTTCTAAAACAATTCATGAGGCTTTTTACTCAAGTAACATATGCGCAATATTTCTTGCTGTATGACAATTCTTTCCTTTGAAGTAAAGTAATCTAGAAAGAAAATACCATAAATACGTAATGCAATTTCAGTTATCCACACAATTTATTAATTCAGATCGAAATTGTCTTTTCATCTTTCAATATCTTGCTTTAAACAAAGAAAATTCACTACATTCAAATTTGATGCAATTACAAACAATCCAAATGAATACTAATGTTTGTCACAATTATAAAAGTAAGATAACATCAATACAATCATATAACTCGAACAAAAAAAGATTTCCAAATTATTATAACAGAAATTATAACCATAAAAACACGAAACCATATAGTTTGATCATATATTATCAGAATCATTGACTAGAATTCAATGATTACAAAGCAATAGCATAATTTTGAGTTTTTTTGACTTCACCAAATAAGTTCACTCAAAACTTTAGTACAATCATATATTATACTTCAATCCATGAAATATTCAAGTGATCAAGATGCTTAAATATACAAAATTTCATTTGATAACAAATCAATAACAATAAATTCTCATACAAACTTCATTTCATCTCGAAAATTCACTCATTCTTCTAGAGTATATGAAGAATCAAAAAGAATCTATCAACTGTTAAACTTTATCGAAAAAAATTTATCCGAAACAAAATTATTTTCGAAACTATTCCACAAAAAATGATAAATACAATATTCTGCATATGTTTATTTATTTTACATTCAATTTTATTCGTTTTTTAAATTTTTTTAAGATCCATGAACATTTTGTTTCTCATTGCTGACTGGAATAATTATTTCGAAGGAGGGTACACTAGTTCCAATTCTAATACAGCTCCTTCTATTCAACAAGGTAATTTGTACATTCATGATGTTTTTTTACGAATCATAACTCAGAAATTATTCATCTCGAAGATGATGACAATAATAAACTTCTTGTATCTGACTGCGTTTTTAATTGCACCAACGGTGGCAATATTTACCAAAATAAAGGACATGTTGTACAATCTCGAGTCTGCAGTATTAAACCAATCGGTAATAGTAATAATGATGTTCCACATTCAGATATTACACTGACACAAGATAAAACATACAAAAATTACTTAAATTTATCAACAATCACCGGAAGTAAAGGAGATAAAACACCAATTTCTCATAAATATGGTGAAATTATTATTCAAAATGTAAATATTTCTGATTCATATTTAAAATCAAATTGTATTTACTCTATTTCAGGAGATTCTGATTCTAATGCAAATGTTTCATATTCAACATTTATTAAAAACGAAGCTGTATCTTCTGAATCTACATGCATGCATTATTATTCAATGAAAACATCTATTAGCCATTGCAATATTATCTCAAATAAATGTCTTGCGTCAATTATTTATGCATCATCAATATCTGCTGATATTACATATATTACATATAGTATTATTACAAAAAACGAAGCAGAAAATCTATTTTATGTTTATAACTGTCAGATTAAAGGTACTTTTTGTTTGATTACATCAAATGATGTTCAATCTAAATCGAATATAAACGGCGGCTCTGTTGTTATATCAGAAACTAACTCACTTAGAATTGTCAATTCGCACATATCTACAGCACTTTGTTTTCAATATATTCCAAGAACAAATATATTTCGAAATAAAAAGAGAATCGTCATATTCATATCCAAATGTTTTTGGCTTTATGGTTTATCTACCAGAAACAGTCAATAGAACTACAAATCATTTGTCATGAATTTGAAATTAGTCTTGGATTCATAAAGCTTTCATCAGTAAAAAAAATACAAATAAATCATTTATATAATAAACAAAAAATATACCAATTAATCAATAGGTAAGAAATAAACAAGATTTGCATCAGTAGCAGATATTAAATATCGAGAATCCTGAGAAAACTCGATATGCGTGATTGTTTCCTTTGGGCGGCATAATTGTTTGATAAAAACCAATGAATAAGCGTCCAAAAACTCAACAGTGTTATCTTCTGTGACAATTGCAACTCTGTCATCGAAATCCAGAGTAGTAAATGGACAAGCAGCTTTGATAAACAAATCAAACCTTTTCTCAGAACACACTCTCAAGTTGATTGTATAAGATCTGATTATTTTTCCTGCAACTAAAATTATGTATCCCATGTTTTCTGTGATAAATATTTTTTCTGGTTCAACATCTTTCGGAAGATCTAAATCTATCATTCTTATGAAAGCCAAATTATGGATTCCGCAAATAACAATTCTGTTTTGACTTACAGAAACGACAATTCCGTAAAAAGAAGAAACAGCGAGACAAACAATTGGAAGTTGATGAGCAATCAAAGTATTCAACAAAAACAAGTTGTTTGATGTCCAAAGAGATAAACAAGCATCTTTTCCTCCACAGACAATATAATTCCTTGCACATCCAATGCAATTTATTTCGTCTAAATGAGGAGTTTTCGAAATTGCCTTTGTTATTTGACTCGATTTGAATTCGAAATAAGAAGGACAATTAGATCTAGGAGAAACAAAATAGAAATTAGGTTGAACACCTTCAACGAACGCGACTAATTTCGTTTCGTTTGGAATAAGCAATGTTCTATCATCACTTATAACATTTACAGGAATGTTATTTGCAGATGTTTTGATCAAAACTATTTTTCCTGTCTTCAAAACACCCAACATTCTTATTGTTTGTATTGTTGCTCCAACACATCTAAAAGCAACAACAGAAGAAGGCAACTGCGAAATAACTAATGTTCCTTTATCAGATTGGTTTGTATTCGCAGGTCTTTGAGGATGAAAAGAAGTAAACAACTGTTGTGGAATTTGTCCAATTGTATTCAAAGCAGCAGAGATTGTTTCTTGAGGGAAATCTTGTTTGAAATTCGGATAAATCAAAGGAGAATACGTGTTATTTGTTTTTACAGCGTTTTCTCCTTGTTGATTTATTCCCCAAATCATATCAATCCATTTATTGATTGTTTTGGAAGAATAACTTGATTCAAGCATTCTATGCATTTTGTTTGTGAATTCTATAACAGTTTCGGACCATTTTGGAATGTCAACATCGTTGATTTCTGTTCCATCTTCTTTTTGTCCGAAATTAAAATCATTTTCGTTCCTCAGAAATTCATCAGAGAAGAAAAATTCAGGTGTTAATTCACGATTAAATCCAACAGGACTATCAACTTTGCTGAACAAATAAGGAATGCTTTTGAAGATCCTTGAAGAAGCATCGAAAGCACCATCTTGATATTTGATGTGCAAAGTTGTAAATGGTTCTTGTCTGACCATGAAATAAGTCACAGAAAATGGATTGGAAATGTAACTTGGATGCAAGAAATTTTGTCCAAATTCCATACTTTGCGCTTCACTTTGGATTTTCAAGTTTTCTAAACATTCTTTGTTGATTACACCCAAATTCAAAGATAAATCTCGATATATTTTAGTGTTTTCTATATCGAAATTCGATTTATCTTTAATAGCAATGAAAGGAAAAACAGGATAACATTTTGTTGAATTAAAACTTCTTCCACTCAACAAATTCAACCAAATCAAATATTCCATTGTTGAAATTTTTCTTTCTTGCCAATCTTTCGTCAAATGTAGTTTGTTTATTTCGATCTGAGGAGAATTCTCTTGGAAGAACCTTATGTTAGGGAATTCGCATTTCTTTAGATTCGAAACAAACTTGTGGTTTTCTTCATCAAAAAACTTAAACAAATAATTTTTGTTCGTATAAGTGAAAATTTGAATTGAATTCGGTTTTTGATCCAAAAAACACCAAAAGACATCTTTGACGTCTTTTCCTAATATCCTTGTAGTTATTTGCGTTATAGAAACAAAACGCAATTCACTTGAACAAACATAAAAATTGCCAGAGCTTTCTCCAGTCAATTTTATTTTTGTGCATTGAGATTCCCACAAAACATTTATTTCATTTGCCGCGTTTGAAAAAGTATTTTCAATTTGCGGAGTGTTTTTAACTGGTTCTCGTTTTCTTTCTGCAGGAATTGTTCCTCTTAATATTGCTGCATCATCGTGATTGACGTAATGATTGTTTGGAAGAAGAACAATCGGTCTGAACATGAAATCAAAGTAATTTCCTCTTTTGAAATATGTTTTTGACATAAGATTTTGTTGGATAAAAGGAGATCCTTTGTACAATAACTGTGTCTGTAATTTGATGAAGTATTTCTTTGCGGATAAAAGAGATTGTATATATCCTTTCGTCCACATTTCATGTATCTTTTGTGTCATCTTGAAATCAAAATTACTTTCTTCAATTTTGACATTTATCTTTGTCACTTTTCTAAATCTGACAAAATTGTTGAATTTGGAATAACGATTTTCATGTTCGTGAAAACTTTACAAGAATTGGAATAAATGGTCGGAATGTCACTTTTTGGATCAAAATTTGCCAAATGACAATGAGGGAAAATTCCTTTGTTCAGAATGTATCTGAAATAAACAGGCATCATTTTTGTTAAATCCCTCTGACAAATATTATAAAAAGAGTTAATCATTGGTACAATTTCTTCATCTAATTCGTCACTTTTCTCATCAAATACGATAAAATAAACATTACGGGCGTGAAGTCACAAGAAGTTGGAAATGTCGCAGCTTTTTTGAGGAATTTTATTGCGAGTCTTCTGTCAACCCAAATTCCATTGATTATGTAAGGTTTCTTTGTTGTTGAAAACTCTTTTGGTTCAAGAGCTTTCGATAACAAATCATGGAAATAGAAATTAACATCAACTTCATATCTTCTTTGGTTTTCAATGTTTTTCGGAGTTTCTGTCAAATAAATATAAAATATATTTATCATTTGTTGACATGTTTCTTCTGTTTCGTAATCCTTTATTGTCTTTATCATGTTAGACAATATTAATTGATGGTATTTTCGATTGTCTACATTAATTCCAATCGAAATCGCCGTCAAAGTTTGTAAAAATTCGTAACAAAATGAATAATCAAAAATAAAATCTTTGATTAAAATGTTAAAAATCAAATTATCATTCTTCGCTTTGGAATAGAAACAATACATACAAAACAGCATCATTGTCAATGGCTTGTTTGCTGAAAAGAAAGCAGATAAATTAGATTTCGATGACAAAACTGACAAAATAATTTGAGAAAAGATTTTTTGACTTTCATTTGACAAATAATTTGACGAAGCCAAAAGAAAAGGAGCAACAACAGGATTGAAATGCCAATGATCTGCGTTTGCTATTATCTCTTCATAAGGTTTGTTTCCATCTACTCCAACATACACTCTAAACAAAGGCATCATTAATTCATCATGATTTTTCAGTTGAATGTATTTTTTCAAATGGAAAATCGTAAATTTCGTTTTTATCGACGAAATGTATTTGACCAAATAAATCTGGATCAAAGGAGATTCATGTTCTATTAAGAACTTTGCAGAGATAAGTACTTTGCCAAGTTCTTTTAGATAGCCATTATCTTTTGCAAACATCGTTAATGGCTCTAAAAACATGAGAACAATTTCAGGTTTTTCTTTCATTTCGTTACAAGCTGCGATAATAAAATACAATTCTTTGAACTTAATGTTTCCATTTCTAAAAATCTCACTTGATGAATAATAAATTAACTTTGATAATATAACAATACAATCTTTTTCAATGTCTTTTTCTAAATCCTTATAGATTTCAAGTAAATAAGAAATAGAAACGAAATAAGTATAACATTTTGTTTCAACTTTTTCAAGCCATTTTTGAAGAACTGCCACTTTTAATTCGTAAGTTGATTTCTGCCAAATATGGTAATTATAGAATATCCATTTGTAGAAAGATTCAGACAAATCATCTAATACGATATTCAGCTCCAAATTCCTTAAGCAATTAAATAATTCCATTGTTGGATTAATACAATTTTCTTGACTCAAATTATCTGCCATAATTTCAAACAAACCGTTTTCTAAAAACACATTTTGTGATTCTTCACAAGTTGACAAAATAACTGTTATAGTATTAATCAATTTGATAACGAATTGCTGCGAAACACTATCATCTTTCCTTGCATCACTTATTTTTCTTAAAAGAGTTGTCAACATTTCTAAACCTTTTGATGCCAAAAAAATTTGGAAAAAAGGAGAAACAGAAGGATAATAATAACTACTAAAAGTAGCTTCAGGATATTGGTTATGCATTAAATTCATCATTAATTCATCCTTTTGATAAGAAGCAGAATAAATCATTAAAGTATTCGGCATCTTCGCTAGTTCAGTTTTTTCACCAATTTTTGAAATATTTTCAATGTTTTCTGAAACAGGAGATTGAATCACCAATTGATTAAACTGATTATAAACAATTTCATCGCAATCCTTTGACAAAAACCTTCTTAAAACGAACATTTCTCCTATCATTTCATTTGCTGAATTCGTTTTATCGAAAATATAAGAAATTCTACAAACTAATTCTCCATCAATAAACAACAAAAATTCATCCATATTTATAATCATAAACATGTTCATCCAAATGTTTTGTATCAAAGGAGAAGAAAATGATTTTGTTATCGGTTTATCAATGAAAACAGAATCAATCGTAATATCATTAACTGTCATAGTAACAGAGAAATATTTCTTTGTCTGTGTAATTGATTTGTAATACAACAAAACTAAATTATTTTGCGGCAAAAAGTTCGAAAACAAAATTCTAAATTGAAAACTCATTCCTTCTTTTAATAATTTAAAAGGAATGTTTTGTAATTTAATGAAATGATTCAATTTCTGCATTTGCAGCATGGGAAAAGAAGGTTTGTTTGTGTCAATCAATCTCATTAAAACATTCAACATATCCATGAGAAAATTGAAGTTATTTGCTCCCATCAAAATTTGCATAAAACGATAAAAAATTGGTCGATTACAAGCATAAACAACAATTTGTTCGAAAACTGATATTAACAGTTGGAATTCTTTTAAATCACTATTTTCATTAAGAAGACTTAAGCATTCCATGGGTATTCCGACATCAGAAGCTGTAAAACACTGAATAACAGAATTTTTTAACAAATTTGAAAAATCTTCCAAAAGCGTCATTTTGTATTTTGTTTGAAAAAGAAAATGAATGATAGGTAATGAGTTTTTATTACCTATATAATTAACATTACCTTTCCTACATGTTATTAATATAATTATCAAATTGTAAAACTCATCATTGATGTCAAAATTTTTCAGTTTTTCTGTGAATTTGACATAGTCAAATTTTATTGAATTATTTCTGTCAATTCTTGCACAAATAATGAAAATTCGAATCAACAAAATAAAAGTCGAAATTTGTATATTATCTTTGAAAAACAAATTAACTAAATTAATGTAAAACTTGGACTGTATTATCTGTTTGAACGTAATTCCTTTGATTTTATGAAAACTTTTGTAAATAATTGTCAAAAATAAATTTATTTTTTCTTCATTTTGTTTAAAATCTTTTCCGAGATTTTGAAGTTTTTGGATGATTGGTTCTGTATAGAAATTAACATGGTTGGGGTCTGTTGAGTATAAATTATTATAGGAATACTGTAAAATCATTGATGAATGTTCAATTTCGGAATTTGATTCAATTAATTCTAAAAGTGAGGAATGGAACGGTGGATCTTGTCCAAATGGTACATATGGTATATTCTTAATCTGTAATATTGCGTCTTTCAAAATTTTCAAAGTAAATATTTTGATATTTTTTAAATTTGGAGAAAAATCTGATTTAAGATGTTCTCCGATGATGGTAAACAATGAAATGTCTTGTTTCTCGTGTTCTAGCAGTTGTGACAAAAATGAATTTGATGAATTTTCTGGATTGTAAATTTTTGAGAGAATAAACAGTAATTCTGCATAAAATAAGAAATTATGGTCTGATTGTATGAATAAAACACAATTTGAGTCTTTCAAAAATGAAGAAAATTTCGAAAAATTTTCTTTGAACAAAAACTTCAGGATTTCGTATCTAAATGATATAACATCGTCATTGGTGTGTTGGAATATTGTTATTTTCGGATTCCAAATCTGATTATTAAATAAAATTTTTGATCCAAACAAATCCGTTGCAATTTTCGGATAAATAAGTTTGTTATATGATAATAATGAGAAGAACAAGTAAGAATATTGCAATGGAAATGTTGTTCTGTCTTGTATCATCGCGAATAAGAAAGATTGTATGTTTTCTTCAAGTAAAACTGACAAAATCGTTGATAATTTGAATATATATTGGCAAGAATCAAACACTAAGTGTTGAAAACTCGGAAATTGGTAGTCATCATCTGGAATTTCGTAAGTTTGAGTGGATTCTTCATCATTTTCTGGTGAAAACAAGTCATCTGATGTATCATCAATTGCATTGGCATCTTCAATTGCAAAAATTGGGGCTGTAACGTAAATTGTAACTAAATCTGTGACAAATTCGTTTTTTCTGGACAATAACCATTGGCTATGAGATACATAACACAAATTATTATCCGAATTAGCTCGTAATTGATCGTTTCTGCTTTTTCTGTCATTGATTGTGAAATAAATTTTGTTACAAGGTCTAAAACCTCAGAAAATGAGCTTTTCAATGATTCTTTGACTTCATCTGTGGGTTTGGATGACTTAATATGCATTGCAATGTGCATAAGAAACGTAGTTTCTTGATTTGTTATAGTAAACGATGGATTATTGAGTAATTCTTTGGTAAGGATGCATATGAAAAGTAAATGAGTCTCTATCATGAGGTTTGGAAATGAAATTGAAAATGAAAAGCATTGATTGAGGTAAGGAACGAATTTAAACATTGATACATTACTGGATATTTTATGATATAAGATTTCCAATGATTTTATTAAGATGGGTTCATATTCTGTCTTATATTCGAATAATTTTGTTAATATCAACATTCCTGATTCAAAATATTGTGTGATTTGGTTTGTAATATCGATATAAAATAATTTGCTCTGTATTTGAAGTGATAGTATCGCTAGATATGAAAGATTTTGCTTTTTTGATTTGATATTTTCGTCAAATATGACATTTTTAATCATAGTCATTACAGACCCCCATGCGTGACTGTCTCTAGTCATTATAAATTGAAGAATATCTTCAAAGTTATTCGTAAAATTTCTATTTTGAATTTCCTGAGCTGCAGAAACGATTTCATTTGGAAATAAACCTGGCTATAGCACTGGGTACTTCAAGTTGTAGATTTCCAGCGTGGTGGAACTGAGAAATTTCGAATCTATACTCCATTGCTGAGAAATCATTGAAATTTTAGATAATTGTAAAATTTCAAAGAAAACGACGATTACATTTTCAGAATTTCCACTTTGAAAATTATAATGCAAGTGTGAATTACACCAACAAACATGATTTTAGAAATATTGCAAAATTGTCACTTTTCTTTTAAAATTTTTTATATGAATAATCTTTTTACTTTTAGAGCGGCAACTCCAAGCTTTTGCTTCTTCACGAAGTCATACAATAAGTGTCCTGCTGGAGCAATTCCTATTTCTCCCGAAAATTACTCGAATTTCAATAAATTTATTACGTATGACATGTATCAAGTTTCGATTTTATACGTGGATGATACATATGTCGACAATATGCCAGTATCATTCAACGTTAAATCGGTTCCCAGTGATATCGGTTTATTGAAGCTTTATTCCTTAAATAATAACAAAGTTTACTTAGATTTTTCAGACAAAACATTCAACATTCCACTCTATCTTCAAGGCATTAAAGCTCAGCTCAATTACAACGTTATTAAAGCCAAAAATATCAAATTAGAGAAAGTCACTACGTTTGGATTCGGGGATTCAATTGAAGCCACTGTTTTACACATCGACAGTTACTCAGCGGACCAGTTCGAAGACAAGTTTAACTGTTATTCAGTTTATTTCGATTTGAATGAGCTCCCATCCAAAAATATCACGTTTACACATAAAGCTCCATCATCTGTCAAGTTCTTTAACATCAGAAATTCATCATTCTACTTCAATTTCAACAGAATGATCATTGCTTACGATGAAAAAGATGTTTCTTTTTATTTCGATGACACAAAAGCGACAACCATATTTGAATTCAATGAAACAACACAAAATCTTTATATTTCAAACATCGCTGATTACAAAGATTCATTAGTTTCACATTCTACATTCGTTTCTACCAAGAATTTGCAGATAAATTCTCCTCTTCACATTCCTTTCAATAAAAACGGTCCAAAAATTGACACAACAAACGGTTTGTCACTTCACATGACCAATTCAGATCAGAACTTTAAGTTTGTGCAAGGATATCCATCGCAAGACCAGAAAATTGTCTATTCAAACACAGAAGATGTAACAATGTCAGAAATTTTAATTGGCGGAGAAACAAAAATTTTGGTTCCAAATTTGACAGCTGAAAAAGTGTCAGTGTCACCTTTTGATACAAAAGTGACAACCAATGCCGATAAGATCACTGTTACAACAATGAAAATCAATGATAACAAAGTAGATTTCGAGAATGGAAACTATGATATTCATTATCTTGATTTAGGAAACGGAAAAGTTTCATTTGATAACTTCGAAAGATTGATAATGAAAACAAAATTGAAAGGACAAGTAAATATCAATAATCTGAAAGAAGAAAATGTCTGGATCAAATTAGATTTGGATGATTTGATATCAGAAGGAGAATATGATATATTGAATGTGAAAAACACTCAAATTGATTGTGATAAATCTGTTTTGATGGCGAATGATGATTCTGCAACTTATTTCCCATTTGTTTACAGAGATTATAAGATTGATTACAAATGCTCTGCAAATAAAATTACAGTCAAAACAACAAAGACAACGAAATCAACTAAAGTTTGTATATATGACTACAAACAAAGCTGCCCAAGTGATTACGTAGCTGTTTCTAATAACTCTGAAATTGATAACATTCTTAATTTGATTGAAAGTGACACAAAAACATGTCAAATTTTGGTTATGTCACCAAGAAATGACATCAAAATTGATATCGATAGAGAAATGAAATACATTTTCTATGGAAAAGGAAAGACTGTTGAATTGTTAGATAAAACAATTGAAACTGCTGCTTCTATTGTTTCTAATGGTGTTAATATGAATTACAACGGAAATATGACGAAATCAAGACTTCCAGAATTGAAATTATATGATGCAAAAATCAACCAAAAGTTTGCAAATTTGGATGGAATATTGATTAAAAGAATTTGGGAAGTTCCTTTCGAATCTGACTTGCCAACAGTTATAACCTGTGAAACAGCTGTTACACTTAAATTCGAAGGAAATATGGAAATCAAATCGAATAATTTCATTTTGGATGGAAAAACAAAACTAAAGAAAGGAAATTACGAATATCAACCAAGTTCTGGATCAATCATAAAAAGTGATACAACAATTGACATCAAAAGCGCTCAATTTTTGACAGCAACTGCCCCTTTAGGTAACTTTGGAGATGTTGATTATTTGAATATGACATGGACGTCGAATTTTTCAAAAGCTGACTTTACAAAAGTCAAAAAACTTTATTTGACATTTGGAAATGATTTTGACGATTTGACATTTGTTGATGGAATGGATGTTATTTTGAATCCAACATCGGAAAACATTACAATTGATAAACTACAAATCAAAGGTAATGTTAAACTGAAAACAACAAAACCACTAAAAATTACGCACTTCAAAGTTTTCGAAAATTCTGACCATGAAATTGATGAAAAATTTGTAATCAATTTCTTGGAATTACAAGAATCTTCTAAGGCCAAATATATTGGCGATAAAGTTGAAGTTCTTACAGTTCATTACACGACATCAAGAGTTCCTTTGTTAACAGTTCAAAATGTTAGTATTGGAAAAGTTATTTTCAATTCCATGGCTTTCGAAGGAGAATTGAATCCATATAAAATCATGGAAATAGATCCGATTTTGGTTGTTGAAGGAGAATTAAAGGTAAATTCTGTTAACTTCGATGGATTTGATGAGTTCTATAGAATTCACATGAACTACAGATTATCAACTGATGGTTTGTATTTATTGCATTCAGACAGAACAGTTCCAACTCCAACATCGAATGTAAACTACTCTAAAGAAAATGTAGTTTTCACAGTAATTTGCATGTCTGTTGCTCTTGTTGTTGCAATTGCAATTTCTGCAATTATATGCATCTGCGGAAAGAGACATGATGCCAAGTTACTGTCCACACATCCATTGCTTTCAACAGACTAAACTTACAATAAAAAATCCTTTCATTTAAATTTTTTTTAAATTCGATTAATTAATTCATTCTGAGCAATATTCAAACACATGTTAATTAGGAGAATTCTGCTGACCAAGTTGTCCAATGATGACTTAGCATTCAGAATTGATCTCAATATTGGTAATATCTTCTGTAGAAAATAGTTTTCTTGATAATTTTCTTCAACAGCTATTTAGAAATTAATGTCAATTTTTATAGGATTGAAAAAAACTAATAAATGACTGTTGAAGTTTAAAAATTTTTATAACATTCCAATGTATAGAATAACAGTGAATGCATAGAGAAGTGATTGTGTGATTTTTGTGTTGATGATTCTGCATTGGCATGTAAGGAAGTCACATGAGTAAATTGCCTTAGGGTTAAGAAGCCATTCAGATATGATTTTCCGAATGAAAGAGACTGTCCTGTTCTCGATGATGACACCACATCTCAGATGATTGCATCCGAAGAAGATAGAATTTTCTACGTTCTTGACGCATATAGGGATGTTGATCGATATCAATGAAGAGCAATTTGCGAACGCATATTGTTTGATGCTCCGAACGGAGTCGTCTGGGATGGAAATGCTGATCAGATTTTTGCATCTAATGAATGCGCCTGATGATATAGTACGAAGTGTCTGTGGGACATTGAAGAACTTGATCTCTGACCCTGGAGGGAAGCAGAAGAGGACTGTTTCTGATTTGTTGTAAAGAGCACCGACATCAACTGTGAAGTAGTCACCTCGTGGGCATTCGATGACAGAGAGAGACGAACATCCATCGAAGAACAAGTTGCCGATATTTTGCAAAGAGCAGTCTGATGGAATTGTGAACTTGACGAGATTTGTGCATCCTTTAAAGACGTAGTCTGACATGTACTCGGTGTGATTTGGAACTGTGAATGTTGTGATGTTCGTATTCTCAAAGCAGTTAGATCCAATCTGTTTGACTGAAGGAGGAAGTGCGATATGTGAAAGATTAACACAATTACTGAAACAGCGCATGTCAATAAATGTCAGTTTAGAGTCTGTTGGGAAAGTTATGTTCGTTATTCCTGTGTTACTGAATGCATATCTATCAATTTTCTCTAACGAAGATGGGAAAACAATCTCTCTCAACGATAAACAATTCAAGAAACATGAATTCTGAATTCCTGTTATATTATTTCTGAAAATAATATTCTTGAGATTATTACAGTTTTTGAATGCTTCAATTCTAATTGTTACATTTTCCCAACAAGAAAATTCAATTGATTCTAAGCTTGAGCAATCTTCAAACGCTCGATAATAAATGTCTTTTAATTTAAATCCAAATGAAATTTTTTTCAGAGAAGTACAACCAGCAAATGCATAAGTTTCAATTCTGATTACAGAATTTGGAATATCGATGTTTGTTAGATTTATGCAGCCTCTAAATGCATAATCATTTATTGCTTTGAGTTTTGATTCTTCTTCAAAAATAATTGTTTTTAATATGTTGTTACCGCTGAAAACGCTATTATGTATTGTTTCAACGATTGATGGAATTGTGTACGAATCTCGTTCACTCAAATACAAAACAAGCATTGTTGGAGAATTATAAATCAATCCCTGGTCATCCTGGAGAAAAGGGGATCCATCTGCAAAAGTTATAACAGTCTGTGATGGAAAGCATTGACCTCCTAGAGAATTCACTGAACTTGGAATTGTTACAGCTCTGAGATTATTACAATTTGCAAAAGCTGTATAGTCTATTGACAATAATCCTTCTGGAAATATTATACTTGATATATTAGCATTTTTAAAACATCCTGATGTAATTGTTTTAACCTCATTTCCAAGCATGACCTCAGATAAAAGTTTACAACATGCAAATTCAGATGAACTTGTCAATTGGAGAGTATTTGGTATATTCAATGATTTTAAATATGAATAGAGAAATGAACACGAATCTAGTGTTTTAACATTTGGCGTGAAAACTATTGATTCAATAAGAGAGTATCCAAATGCATAAGTTCCTATTTTCTCGATAAAATCAGGAGTTGTAAATGATTTTGAATGATTTCCTGGGAAATATATCAATATTTTCTTATCTTTTGTATATAAAATACCATCAATTGATGTGAAAAAATTATTTTGTTCATCACATTCGATTGTTTTAAGTGTTTGTGGTGATTCTATATTTGCGTTTATTATAGAAACGCATTTTGGAATGAAAAGAGTTGTGATAATTGTTCCATGGAAGCACCCTCTTTCAATCGTATGAAGTTTTGAATCTCTTGAAATAAAAATATTTTTTAGTTTATTACAATTTTTCAAAGCAATATTTGAAACAATAAGAATTACCGAAAAAGTGACAAAACATCAAAAACAGGGAGGGGGTCTCAATTTTTATTACTTATATTATTTTACAATATTTATATAAATACTCTTTATAATATATTTTACTATAAAATTATACCTCAAATTCAAATATTTAAAATATTATTTACATAATTATCTCAAAATTATATTTTTATATATTATTTTTCATATGTATAAATCATATAATCTATATCTATGCAAATCTCATCTAAATTTTTTTGAAACAAACCGCTACCATTTTATAATGGTCCATCTTAAATTCATCATAAATTCTGGTACATGTTAGTACCAGAGTCTTCAAATCTCAAACACTCTGGTACCAACATGTACCAGACGCGAGTTTCCAATGCCCTCGTACGATTTTCTATTAAGATCTTCTTGAATGAGAAGGTCTTCATAGAAACTCGTACGAGGGCTTCTCTTTTAAATACTCTGGTACCTGCTGGTATCGGAGTCGACTTTACAGCCCTTTCCCCAATTTTGAAGCTGGGGAAAGTTTTCAAGCAATGAAAGGGAAGCTCTCGCTATGAGGTGAAAATCTAGAATTTTTACCTCATAGCGAGTAATCCTTTGTTAATTGCTTGAAAACTTTCTTCAAATTATCAAAATTTCGAGGAAAGTTTCCTTGCTTCAAAGTAGAGATGGAGCCCTTTGAGCCACTGCATATAGGTCAGTGACTCAAAATACTCCATCTCTACTAGAAATCGCCAAAATTTGGGTCGCAATCTTTGAAATGCGACGCAAGTTTGGGCAATTTCGCGAGGGACTTGCTCCATTTGGTGCATAGATTCACACTCTATGTACCAGATGGAACAATTCTTTCGCTGACAGCGGGAAACTTTGTCTGAATAGTTTAACATTCAGACAAAGTTTCCGCTGTCAGAGAGGGAATGGAAGGGTAAGAGGTATATATTCATAATGTATACCTCTTACTCTTCCATTCCCTCAAGAAAGTTCAAAAACTTGGGTGCAATCAGAACTGATTGTACCCAAGTTTTTGAACTTTATATAAGGAATTGTTAGCTATGATGTACTGATCATGAATCAGTACATCATAGCCAACAATTCCTTCGCAAACAGTGGGAAACTTTGTCTGAATAGTTTAACATTCAGACAAAATTTCCCGCTGTCAGGGAGGGAATTAGAGGGTGGGAGATATATAGATAGACTATAAATCTCTCACCCTTTAATTCCCTCAAGAAAGTTCAAAAACTTGGGTGCAATCAGAACTGATTGCACCCAAGTTTTTGAATTTTGTATAAGGAATTGTTGGCTATGATGTGGATAGCCGCTGCCAGACCAAATGAATTAACCGTTGTGAATAACGTTTCTGAATCTTTATTTAAAAAGATAAAATATCACGATTTTGGCTGCGTTAAAAATCAAAGAATTGATGTTTTTGTCAAAAATCTTTTAGAAGAAGTTGCACCAATTACTTTTATCGTATTAAAAACGATTTACTTCAAACAGGTTTTATTCCTTCAATTAGAATTCGCGAGCCTCGATTGACAGATTATAAAACAAAATTGAAAAGAGAAGTTCAATCACGTTTATACCAAGTATTAAATTTTGTTCAGAATCAAGAAGCCAATTTGAATCCATTAAGATTTTTATTGGAAAATGCTGAAGAAAAACTTTCTCAAATAAATGAGAAGATACAAAATTCAATTACATATTTAAGATCGTTTGAAATTCCAAATGAATTGTTAGATACGTATATGTTAGAAATTAATGAATTTTGTTATAATTCTCCAGATTATATTTTAGAACATTTCGAAGAATTTTTAGAGGATTTCAAAGAAAAGAATAAGTTAATAGACTAAAAAATTTATTATTTTTTTTGTGAATTTTAAATTGTCACTTTTTAAGTGTTACTCCCTATTGAAAGTATCACTTTTTGGGTGTCACTTTTTCGGAAATTCTTATATACTCAGCAATATTTTGATAAAGTTTGAATAGATGATGGTAATGAAATATTGACTAGAGATTTGCATAGACTAAATGAATACGTATTAATAGTTCTAAGATAATTGCAATTTGAAAAATCAACTGAGCGTAGTTTCGAACAATTGAAAAATGCGCAATCGCTGATTGTGTTAAGTTTGGAATTTTGAAGGAATCTAACAGATTCAAGTGTATTTCGACTTCCTTCAAAAGCATAATTTCCGCATGTTAATGGACCAAGTTGTCCAAAGATGACTTCGCAGTCAGATTTGATCTCAATATTGGTAACATCATTTGTAGAATATAGTATTCGATCGTTTTCTTGATAATTTTCTCCAAAACTGATTTAGAATCTAATGTCAAATTTTTTATTTATTTATTTATTTATTTATTTATTTATTTATTTATTTATTTATTTATTTATTTATTTATTTATTTATTTATTTATTTATTTATTTATTTATTTATTTATTTATTTATTTATTTATTTATTTATTTATTTATTTATTTATTTATTTATTATTATTTATTTATTTATTTATTTATTTATTTATTTATTTATTTATTTATTATTATTTATTTATTTATTTATTTATTTATTTATTTATTTATTTATTTATTTATTTATTTATTTATTTATTTATTTATTTATTTATTTATTTATTTATTTATTTATTTATTTATTTATTTATTTATTTGAGGTTGAATGATTTCTGAAAATCTTTTCAAAATATGCTACAAGCTGAAATCGATTATCATTAATTAATTATTTATATTGACTAACATTATCGGTTTTTCCTCATTTGGACGTGAAAATGACAAGACATCAGAGATTTTTAGTAAACTGTCAAAAAATTTCCAAAAATAAAGTTTTAGTGTTATCATTTATTTAACACATACATTATATACCAATATGATTTTCATGTGATTTTTGACCTTTTTAGTCCACCAAGCGGCACCCTTAAATTGTCTCAACATCAATTTTTTGGTTTTGATATTAATTTAATTTTTTTTCAACAAGACAATAAAATAAAAAAACAAAAACAAACATTTTTATTCTTATCCGAAATCACCAATAACAAGATGAGGTAGCTGGTGTCTAATCTGAACATCTTTAAATTTCCTCCTCAAGGAAATATAGATAGCAATAATAACAATCAAACAAATCGTTAAAATTGGAAGAATGATGATCAAAATCAATTGAACTTAAAAAAAAAAAAAAAAAAAAAAGGGTAGTGGGGCTTCCAGGCACTTCGTGCCTTCTAGCCCTGAAGATGTTTAGTATAAATGAAGTTTTTATTCGGAGGGCTTCCAGCCCATAAGAAATTTTTCCCAAGACCCAAGAGGAGGACCGAACCCCAGCCGACCAGCCGTTGACTTTTTTGTCATGATTTCATCGTAAATGTTTTGTCAAGACTTCTTCGTAAATGTTTTGTCAAGACTTCTTCGTAAATGTTTTGTCAAGACTTCTTCGTAAATGTTTTGTCAAGACTTCTTCGTAAATGTTTTGTCAAGACTTCTTCGTAAATGTTTTGTCAAGACTTCTTCGTAAATGTTTTGTCAAGACTTCTTCGTAAATGTTTTGTCAAGACTTCTTCATCGTAAATGTTTTGTCAAACTTCTTCGTAATGAGCGTAAATGACCAAAAATAATGTTTATGTTAGCATGTTAGATCTAACACGTTTTCTAACATGTTTTCTAACATCGTAGAAAACTCATGATTTCATCGTAAATGTTTTGTCAAGACTTCTTCGTAAATGTTTTGTCGAAACTTCTTCGTAAATGTTTTGTCGAAACTTCTTCGTAAATGTTTTTGTCAAACTTCTTCGTAATGAGCGTAAAGGACCCAAAAATATAATTTATGTTAGAATGTTAGATCTAACATGTTTTCTAACATGTTTTCTAACATGGTCTAAAACTCTTGAATTTTCATGAATTTTCATGATTTCATCGTAAATGTTTCGACAAAACATAGACAATAAAGTTTTGACAAAACATAGACAAGAAAGTTTTGACAAAACATAGACAAGAAAGTTCATGAGAAATTAGACAAGAAAGTCTTGACAAAACATAGACAAGAAAGTCTTGACAAAACATTTACGATGAAGTTTGACAAAGTCTCAACAAAGTCTTTACGATGAAGTTTGACAAAACATAGACAAGAAAGTTTTGACAAAACATTTACGAAGAAGTCTTGACAAAACATGTACGAAGAAGAAGTTTCGACAAAACATATACGATGAAATCATGAAAATTCAAGAGTTTTAGACCATGTTAGAAAACATGTTAGAAAACATGTTAGATCTAACATTCTAACATAAACATTATTTTTTGGTCCTTTACACTCATTACGATGAAGTCTTGACAAAACATTTACGAAGAAGTCTTGACAAAACATTTACGATGAAATCATGACAAGATAGAATATGAGAGAGGTCCCATAAACCGGAGAAAGTGTCATATAAACATCTGTCAAAAACCGCTTTTTAACTTCACTTAAAATGCCACGTAAGCTACGTAAGAATATACGTAAGAGGAAGAGAGCATTGAAACATCCAATAGTAAGACTAACACCACAACAACAGTTGCAACAACAAATGCTGAATGACCCCACTATGTTGCAACAAATGTCAAGCAACCCTATGCTTTTAAACCGAGTTCTTGGTGCACAGAGTGGAGGTTTAAGAGCGGCACTTTTAGCGAAAATGGCAGGCTATGGTGGAGCTGCAGACGGAACAGCTTATAACCCTCAAAGTCAAATGAATTTGAGTTCACTCAAAAATCAAATAACAGATGTCAAAAAGTCAAACATAGACATACAGAAGCAAATAGGTGAAAACGAAAAGAAACTAGAATATGACAGACACACAAAGAAACTCAATGAGTTAAACGTAGAGAAAAAGAAGAAAGAAGAACAACTGAAAGAACTAAGTACAGAGGAATATGCGAAAAAAGTGTCAGAAAAAGCAGCAGAAGTAGCAAAAATGGAACAAGATGTCATAAATTTGAAAAACCATACTACTCAATATAAAATACTGAAAGATGAAGAGATAAAACAAAAAGCCCTGAAGACATATATGGATAGCGATGAGTATAAAAAAGAAGTTGAAGCAAATGTAAAGGCAGAAAAACTTTTACAGTTGCAAAACCAAACCGTACAGTATGAAAACTTAGCACAAGAAAGTAAAAATAACGACGCAGCCATGCAAAAGGCAATGAAAAGCGCAGAATATATAAAAGCTAACAATGACTGGTTAGATGCCCAAGCCAACGCCAAAGCAGCCCAACTTATAGGGTCAATAAGGACAAAAATACAAGCGGATGAAGACAGTTCAAATGAAGCTTTAACAAATGCTGACTTTAAGAACGCTTTCGAAGCTCTTCATAGTAAGGTGAAACTAGTGAACGACTTCTCATCTGGAAAGAAACTGAAGTCTGAAGGTTTCGACAAAGAGTTAAAAGAAGTAGCACAAAATATGACGAAAATAACAGATGCAGCAACGAGACAGGCAGTTCAAAGTGCCTATGACGCCGTTAGAGCAACTGTTGTGGAAAGTCAAGAAAAAGAGTTACAACAGACTAAAACAGACCTAGTAAATGCTTTCTTAAAAACGAAAAGTCAGGTAGGACATTACGCTGCAGATGGAACATATGTGCCAGCTGGTGGAACTTATATACCACCAAACCCTCCAAGAGAAGCACCTGCACCAGGACTACCTAGAACATTTACATCGTCACATGGACACAGACACAGGCATGCACCAAAACCAACACAACAACCAGCACAACAACCACCTCCACAACCAGCACAACAACCAACAGTTCAAAACCCTGCACAAACAGAACAAGGAAACCAAGAATTCTTAAAAATGCTGAAGGAAGAGTGTGGTTTCCCAGATACTGTTGACTTTAGTGACAGATATAAAGAAGCTATTAGAAAGTTCAAGGATGGAAATACTGACCCGAACCTATTTAGCTTTATGACTCAGCACCAAATGGGATATAATTTCAAACCTGGAAAATACAAGCTCGCTAAGGGATATGATTTAATAGCATATCATCCAAATGACATGAACGAATTTACTCCGAGATATTTGATGTCAGAGCTAAATGACAATTCAACTTTCGTCATGAAACGCGTAAAAAATAGAGACGGAACGAAAGAACAAAAGCTTATGAATGCGGATGACGTAGATAGGGAAATTGTTAAAAACGGTCTCGGAATATATGAAATGCCAGCAGATGAGGTACAAGAAACTCCACAGGAAGAAATAGTTCAGATACAACCAGACATGGAAGAAATAGTTCAGCAACAACAGCTAGAAGAGCCTGAAGGAAACGAACAAGTCACTCCTTTGGAAACTAACTTCACAGAACTAGATGAAGATTTGGAACAGCCGAAAAATCTTGACCCTCAACAAGAGTATGCGGAGAATATGGAATATTTCCAAGAGTCTAAAAAAAATTCGGCTGACATAGTAGAAGAATATCGAAAAATGTTTGCCGACATACAAAGACTCCAACACCAGATGAAAATATTCAGCATAGAATGGAAGAACTGAAAAAAAATGTACACAAATACAACAACCCTTTTTACTTACGAGCATTTAACGTTCAATCTTCGGATGAACTCGGTGAAGATAAAAGGTTAAATTTCAAGAAAACATATAGAAATGAAACATTGTTTAAAGTTCATTCAGAACCTAGCCAAGATGGAAACAAACCTACTTTTGTTTCTGCAGACGATGGAACTACAATGAGATGGGGTCATAAAGCTAACCCGGATAGGTGGTTCATAAACTTACAACCACAATTCCAAGAAGTTGTAGACGCAATGGAAGTCAATGGTGAACAAGATATAGCTGGTATTTTCAGCGCGGCTTTAATGCCATTGAAAGATATGAAACATGCAGATATTTTGAACCAGTATGAAATGAACATGGCTGATGGAAATATAACACCTGACGTTCTAGAACATTTATCTCAAAGAACTACACAGAACCATAGAGATGGTATATTTGGTGAAGAGTTTAGAAAGAAAGTTAGGGAGAGAGAAGGAAGAGAACCTATTGTACATGACCTTGCAAACGAAAGTTTGCAAAATGTCATAAAAACTTACTTTGCAGACAATGAACCGAGAAGGGATGAATATTTAAGAAAACTCAAATGGACAGTACCAAATGAAATGTTAGTATTGAAAAACATGTTCCTTGACAAAATAAAACCAACTACAGAAATAAACGACGCAAGACTGAAAGATTGGGTAAAAGCTTTCCCATTCACAAAAGATATTGTTGGTAACATGGAAAGAAAACCAGAATGGCTACAAAAACATATATTTGGAAACGAGCATATTCCATATGGACAGGCACTGTTTGAAGAGCTTGAACCAGAAACTCAGGAAAGAGTCATGCAAACAATACGCGAAGACTCAAATACAAACTATGACAAACTCTTTCTAGGATATAGGTTACCTGAGATGGGCGACCAGAGCCCAAAGGCAAAAAGGACATGGGAAATTTACAACATACTAGGTGAACATGAGGCAAAGATGCAACAACTTGAAGCAGAGGGCAAGTTACCAAAGAAGAAAAGAAAGTGGTGAAAGTAGTGAAGAACAAAGTGAAAGTAGTGGCAATGAAGGAAAAAGAAGAGTTAAAAACTCAGTCAGGAAGAAAGTAAAGCTTGGTACGAGTGGGTTCTATTATGATATATAAATCCAACTATTCTATATTTTTACCCATATGAAATGTACGCCGCTCAGAATATAACGCCAACAGTTTTGGATGCCATGAACGGAAATGTTTCCGAATGGTATAACGAATGCGACAATGCCATTAGAAGGTCAGAAATAGTTCCTGGAACTTACGAATATACAACTGCTGTTTCTTATGGAAACGTAGGTGAGTTTGGAGAAGGTTCTTCAACAACAGTAGATATTGCTTGCGACAGGTTTCATATAATTTCTATTGACAACTCATTCTTATACGTGGAACAAGACATTGAAATAAAACCTTCTGCTGACTTGAGAGGTAAGAAAGGTTGCAATGGTATTTTCTATGTCGGATACCAATATGCTCCAGAAGTTTTCATGGGATATAAGATATATTCTAACTCTGACTTAGTCCAAACAGTAACATGGGCAAACTATGAATGGTTCGCTTTAAGAAACTCAGTACAACCACAAGCTAGAGAACAAACAGACCAGTATGCAACTATTGAGAAAATAAGAAGACTTGACCCTAACGTTCCAGGAGTTTATGTTAACCTTTCTGGTTCAGATGGAAATGCTGTCACTAAAGTAAAATTGAAACTTAGAGTTCCTTTGTCATCTTTCCTCATCTTCAGGTTTTTAAGATACTTGCCAAACTGGGCAGGAAAAAATTTCTATCGAACTTACTCCAAGCAAAAATAACTTAGTCATTGCACCAACGCAAGACCCATTCACTCTTACAGACGTAAAGGGAGCAAATCAAACGTCATTCGCGAATTTTGCAAAGACAAAGTTGACTTAGACTTTGGTTTCTCAAACCTCAACACTGAAGTAAGGTATTATTTCAATGCTGCTGGAACTGCTTGGGACCCAGTTAGGTTTACATGCGAACAGCTTTCTAATGCAAGAGAATAGAAAGCAGACTTGCAGTCTATATGTTGGACCAGATATTTCAAATGCTTTAGCTGCCAAATATATTGCAGTTCCACTTATGTTCCCTATACACCAAATATCTGTCAAAGACTTTGCAGGTGAAGTTGGAAACCAAAATCCAGGACCGCAGGTGCAAGAACAGATATTGCTTTAACAACTGCAATGAAACACGCAGATACTATGTTTGTACTGTTCAGACGAACTATAAATGACTATTCTTGGTTTCTACAACCCTGGTATTAAATATCATATAAACATAGATGGCAAATATTATCAAGAGAAGAATATTCTACAGTTGAGGATATGAGGTCATACAACTTGACACTAGATGCTATGAACTTTAACAACAACTTCACAACAACCATTAACCCTGAAATGCAAAGTTCTATTATGCCATATGTGAAAGTATGGACTCATACAGGAAGTCAAAAAACTCAATATACAAATGGAGACGTTCAAACTTTTGGCTTGGCATTCCATTTGCTGACTCAGAAGACTTTATGGGTGGTATTTCAACTGTTGGTACTGTACAAATACAATATACTGGTGACAGAGACGGTCATATGAACAATGAGAGCAAAGAAGTTTACAAAACCAATAGCACTTTTCACGAAGATGCTCTTTTGAAGATTCGTTCGATGAAACCTGCTGGGGCTCCTCAGATTGGCATAACGACAGCTTCATCGAGCAGATTTTGGCAGCAGGTCAGTAAGTTGTTCTTGAACTGACTTCTCTCCGTCAAATATTGACAGTACGCCAGTTTTGACATAGTATTGTATTATAAACTTTTCCTTTAGTAATATCGGTCAGTTTGTTGTTATATTTTTGTCAACGTCAAGAACTTTCACCATTTCAGTTATACCAACTCTCTCTGCTTTATGAAAATATTTAGGTTCAGCAAAGACTGCTATTCTATAACATTTTCCATTGTTTGTGTAAAAACTATTCTGTCAATGAACTTGTATTGTTTGTGTGTTGTAAACTTTGTTTTGCTTCAATTCGAAGAGATACTCAAATACGTCCATCTTTTTATTCTAAGTAAAATGTCATTCCGAAAAATAGAAGCGTGAGTGTTTCAAAAGGTTTAATGGCGGTGGCAGATGTGAAGTTAAATTCACCACTCAAACAAACAGTCAAAGTGTTGTTGTCAATGTCAAAGAAAGAGATGTTGAAGTGGGAAACCATACGAAGACGAAGATGTATAGCAATTGTTCCTGTAAAAGAACAACCAACATATCCTGAAGTTAGCAGAGACTTAAGTTCTGTTGCAGATATTCGAAACGACTACCAACAACTGAAAGACAAACTTAAAACTCAGGAGAAGATTTGTCAAGCTTTAGGTATAATGTTAAACTTGGTCGAACACAACCCTGTAAAAGTGAACTCATATGTCATTGCACCTCATGAAGTTTTGAAAGAACTATTGAAACTTTTGACAGAGGCAGACGATATAAACATCAAAGAAATAGAACCGACATTGCTTGCTGTGGTGTTTCATATAATGTCATTGACAAGATATACGTTATGAAAGGAGGTGAAACGTTGAACTTAAAGTATAGTTTCCCAGACGTCATAAAAATATTTGACGACCACAACATTTCATTAAAATTTATTTGCTAAGTAAATGCAGAAGATATAATGGTTTATACTATTACGACTAAAAAACCCTGAGTCATATAATTCTATAACAACAAACTTACAAAGTCCTCAAGGACGGTATTGTAAACTAACTTTAAACACAATGACGACTAAAGCCTGTTTTGCTCTTTGACACCAGAAGATTTTATTGTTGTGAATGGTAAAAAATACTCCTTTGAAGATACTTACTCAGATATACCACCAACTGGTTTTGTTGACTTATTTAATACTTTAAGTACGGGTGTAACATGTGCTGCAACTAGAGCAGGTTTCATTATGTTTGGATGTCCGACTGAGTTTACTATAAACAATATGAGCTATAATACAAAACTTATATCTGGTTTTTTACTACAACAGTTTCTATAACAGGAAAAGGTGTCATACAAGGAATGTCTGTTCCATTGACTTTAAGCACACCTATTTTATATATTGTTTCAAACTTAGGTTCAAAGTGTTATTCGAATGTCGACAGAAACTACTATGACCAAAAGATACTTATGCGTATAAACAATACTTTCTCTGCTGGTTGCCTATTGTTCATTCGAATGCAGAATTTTCAACCTTAGTGAACTCAAACACTTTGGCAAGTATAACGTTGACATTAGTTGACGCAAACTTTGTTCCTGTAAAACTTTTATGTCCTATGTATTTGTCAATGACGGCAGAAAGTTTCGAATTGGAAGATGCAACTGGTAAAGTATTGTATTACAAGAACAACTTCAACAACAAATAGCTCAAGAACAACAAATGCAACAAATAGCTCAAGAATAAAAAAAATATTTTTTTTTATTTTTATAAAAATGTACAGAATAGATGTTTCAGATTTTTATGACTTCCAAACATTCAGAAATATGTGTCCATTTCGAGACTATAACAAAGCAGTCGAGAATTTGAAACGTTTAGTCATTTATGTCGACTCTGCCCCAGAATGTTATGTCATGAAAGAATGGGATGTTGTCTTTAACAAACCTAAAGCGACAATAGTTTCAGAACAAGAATGTAGACAGAAACTTAAGAAAATAAAAGTCGTACAAGTTGGAATGAAGATGTTAGATGCTTGGGATATCTTATTGTCAAAGTTAGAAGATTTTTCAGTTCGTGGTATAAAGTTTTATACACCTTCTCCAAACTTCTATTCTATCTTCACTGGATATAAATACGAACAAGTAGAATGGAAAGAAAATGTGTTATAGAAGCTTGGTTAGACCATGTCAAAGAAATTATATGCAATGGAAACGAAAGAGTCTATGAGTATATCTTATGTTGGTTTGCAAACATCTTACAACATCCAAGTGCTAAGAATGAAACTGCTCTCATTGTAATTGGAAAACAAAAACTGGTAAAACACATTCTTTACAGATATTTTGTGCAAACTGTTAGAGGGCTATTCGAACCCGAATATGACAAACTTAGAAAACATCTGCGGTAAATTTAACTCTTCAATAGAGAATATGAAACTTATAGTATGTAACGAACTTCAAAGTATAGATACAACAAAAGTTTTGAACTCAGATGCTTTGAAGAGTCTTATAACAGACAAAGTTGGAGTTGTTGAAAGAAAGTATAAAGACCAAAGAGTTTGTGAAAATGTTGCAAATTTCATTATGGTTTCAAACAATGCTGTTCCGATGAAGTTAGAAAGTTCTGACAGAAGATATGTAGTTGTCAGAACGTCAGAAGCTCATATGCAAGATACAGAATATTTTGACGACTTAGCAGAAACTTTGACACCTAACTTTTACAACCACTTGTTCTCATACTTTATGACATTAGATATTTCTAAGTTCAATCCAAGACAAATTCCATATACCGAAGAGAGACAAACATTGTTAGAAGCAAACAAGAGTGTTTATGAACTGTTTATAGATGAGACTAACTTTGAGTGTTTAGATGAAAGGTCATTGTACGATGAATATAAACAATATTGCCAAGAGTATGGTTATATGACAGCTTCTAAACGTACATTCTTGGCAAATGTCAAAAGTCTTTTAGATGTTCAGAATGGCGTATATACAAAGAAAATTTTTTCTGAGTAAATTTTAAAAAAATATTTTTTTATCCGATAGAAAAGATGACGAAATTCATCTCAGTAAATAAGTACATGACAGAAGTCAAAGATAAGTTAGCTCCATTCGCATATTTGAATGTTTACTTCTACAATTTTGAAAAGTCTACATTTGACAAAATTTGGAACATTGCACCAGTTAAGTTTGCTGTTGTTAGAAAAAGTGGTGCAACTTTTGAAGACTTATACATTGACGGTATGTTGACAGTCAAAGAAAATTTTGACAGAAAGTTCTCAAAACTCGAAGAAGGTAAAGCATACAAACTTGTTATACCTTATGAACCAAAGAAAGCAGACGACTATGAATATTATGAGTCTAAGATAGTTGAAGTTCAGGGTAGATTGGGTAAAAGAAGATTTTAGAGTCTAAGCCAGTGTTTGCTCCTAAAGAGGAAGAGAACATTGACATTGACCCAGAAATGTTCTAAAAATAAAATTTTATTTTTACATGTCATATCTCACTTCTCTGGAACTGGTTCAGGTTCTTTCTTCTCTTCTACTTTCTTTTCTTTCTTTCCTTTCTTCTTCTTTTCTGGTGGAGTTATGTCAAATTTCTCCGAACCATATTATGTAAAAGTTCTTTGTCCTTTAATAGCTCATCTATTCTGTTTTCTATTTCATCTTCAAGAACAGCGCATGTGTCTTCTTTGCATTCTAAGAACTTTTGTTGGACTTCATCTCTCCAAAGGCGTCATCTCTGTCAACAAGTCTGTCATTGACAAATTTTAAGACTGCTCTGCTTAATGTTTTATGGTTCTTGTCATATTCCCAGAAACAGAACTTTAGAACAAATTCACTTTCTTGTTTACACTATGTAAGATTTTATGGTCGACAGAAGTTTAGAGTCAAAAAGCTTGTCTCGAATATAGATAGCGAAATCACTAGACATTTTCTAAAAGATAAAAATTTTAATTTTTCTAAAAATATGTTAGAAAAAAAGTTTGCTGACATTGACAAGAAATTTGAGAATGTTTTGAAGAAGAACAAGAGGAAGTTAGAAAATGCTCAGATAAAGCCTATACATGACAAGTTCTTATTTGCTCAGAATGGTATAACAGGTCTAATCGCACCGCCTGGGTCGGGTAAGACTTTCACTTATCTTAAAATGGCTGCACAACAACAAGAACTAGATGAGAAGAACCCATTCTATGAGTTAGTTGTTATTTGTAGTACTTCTGGTCAATTCGATCAAACCGTCAATTCGTTCAAAGATATTATAAAGAAGTCTAAGTTAGTATGTATAAAGGATACTGAGTTGTTAGATTGGATAAAGAAGTACCAAAGAAGAGTTTTGAAGTATAATGCTATAAATGAGTATATAAATTCTAAGTTTAAAGACCCAAATGAGGAAATGCAGAGAATATTAGAGAAGAAACACTTCAGAAACAAACAGAAAGAGATAGAATACATTTCGAAAAATTGCAATCTTACGATTGGAAGACTTACCCTCATAGATGTCTTCTTATCTTAGATGACTTTGCTTCTCATCCTTTGTTAAAGAACAGAGAACAAGATATGTGTCGAATTCTTAAGAAGCTCAGACACTTTAACATCTCAGTTGTCATTTGTGTACAGACAGCCAAGAGTTTAAGTAAGGATGTAAAGAGAATACTTACTGACATTATACTTTTCCCAGGATTGTCAGAAGACGATTTCATGGAACTTATGAAAGAGTCCATGGCAGGTAAGTTTGACAGACATGAACTATGGGAGAAGTACAAAGTCATACAAGACCCTCATACTTCTTTCAGAATTCATATCTACGCAAACAAAGTTCAAATTGTAAAAAGTCAAGCGTAAAAATGTAAGTGTTTGAGTCTTAGTCTGTTGTGGTGCTGGGGCTGTCGGTTCTTCTGGCTTTGGAAGGCATTCAGGAAGAGGAACGTCAGTCATCTGTTTGTGTCCTGTCGGAAGGAAGGACTCGGAATGCCAGAAGGAAGGACTCGGAATGTCGGATGGAAGGACTCGGAATGCCAGAAGGAAGGACTCGGAATGTCGGAAGGAAGGACTCGGAATGTCGGAAGGAAAAACTCGGAATGTCGGAAGGAAAAACTTTTTCTGTCGGAAGGAAAAACTTTTTCTGAAGTTCGACCAAAAAGTTCTCAATTTTCGAAAATTTGAATGGTTTACGGACGAACAACAGGAAATTTTTTTCCAGTTGTCGGGAAATTTTTTTCCAGTTGTCGGGAAATTTTTTTCCAGTTGTCGGGAAGAACTTGGAATGTCGGAAGGAAGAACTTGGAATGTCGGAAGGAAGAACTTGGAATGTCGGAAGGAAGGACTTGGAATGTCGGAAGGAAGAACTTGGAATGCCAGAAGGATTTGACAAGACAATTTACCTTATAGAGCTACCTGAGCCATCTGAAGTCAAGCTTGAAAAATAAAGAGTTCATTTACTCTGCTTGTTTGAAGTTGTCAAAATACTCTGTTATTTTTTCCTTTAACAATGGCAAATCTTCTTTGAAGGTAAGTATTGTACAACCTTTCATATCATAGTGTGTTTGAGGTAACGTATCTTGAACTATTTGTTTCACATCTTCATTTGGGGTCATTGAAATCGGTAAGTTTTCGCGATAGAACCAATTTCTGTCAGATTTGTAAATCTTAGCAAGGTCGTAAAAGCTTTTGTTGTTTCTTCTGACTAAATGCAACATAACCATATCTTTATCTTCTTCATTTTCCATCTCTTCAGTATAATCATATACTTATAGTTCTTTTCCTTACCTTTTGGTACCGAACGTGGTATTCTTTTCTGAATGTTTTTGTCTTTTGCTTCAAGCTTGTTTTCCATCTCTTCACGTTCTGCTTTATATAGTTCATCTAACATCATGAAAATATAACAAGCATAACGAGGTGAAGCCCACATTGCTACGGCATTTACTAAAAGTCTATGAACATAATATCCTCTCAAACGGAGCCAATTCTTGCGATTTTCGTACGGAATCTCTACCCTCGGTTTTCCGAGGGTAGCAAACATATGAGGAAATTCTTCTAAAAGTTCTTTTGTCTGTTGGTTTTCAAACCAATGATATGCTTGCTTTGTAGAACGAAGAGCGTTCAAAATACTTTGCATCTGGTACATATCGTCTTTGACCGAACGAATGAGACGTAACTGTTTGTTATACTGTATGTACTCGTATTCTTCATTTATAGCTTCATGGACTATAACTGTTGTTGTGTTCTCTGTTGTTGACATATCTGTCCTTACATACAAAATAAAAAAAATATTTTATAAAAAATTAGCGTTATTTCCTGACTTTCACAAAAGACCAAAAATAAACGCTTTACATGTATTTTTCAGCAACTTCGTCAAATAATTTTATAGCTTTATCTATCTCATCTACTTCAAACGTTTCTTTACCTTTCGTGGGAGCACCATACATTTTCTCAAACTTTTCGAGTAGTTCTGTTTCTGCAGCTCTCATATCGTTAACAAACACAACCTTGACTCTATTGACTGTACTGTCATATCTTTGAGTTATATTATATGTTCTTCCTATCTTATATCTCTTTGTATTGAAGTCCTTCGGTTTCTGAACGATGTAAAGTAAGCCTTCACTGCAACGTTCAGTATCGAATGAACCATATGTTATGAAGTTATATCCAACAACTGGGTCTAACCATAACAAAACTATTGGTATAAGACTTTTGTCTATAAGATATGCTGTAGTTCCATAGAATCTTACCGATATCATAAGCTTAGGATTTCTTGTCAAAATTTTCTGAGTAGAAGCAATTTTAACCCAGTCGTGGGATGTTTTCTTTCCAGATGGAGATATAATGTCTGACAAAGAATATTTGTTGTATTTCTTTGAGTATCTTACGTTTAAATCACCTATTCTAACCACTTTGGTGTCATTGTCTATCTTTCTAACTGTTTCAAACTCATTGTTTGTCATTTCTGTTCTTACATACAAAATAAAAAAAATATTTTATAAAAAACTAACTTTATTTTTTCTGTCTTAAGGAAATTCATGAAATTTCATACGGAATCTCTACCCTCGGTTTTCCTCGGGTAGCAAACATATGAGGAAATTCATGAAATTTCATACGGAATTCAGCAAAAATAATGTTTATGTTAGAATGTTAGATCTAACATGTTTTCTAACATGTTTTCTAACATGGTCTAAAACTCTCGAAAATCATGAAATTTCATACGGAATTCAGCAAAAATATATTTTATGTTAGCATGTTAGATCTAACACGTTTTCTAACACGTTTTCTAACATGGTCTAAAACACACAAAACTCATGAAATTTCATACGGAATTCAGCAAAAATAATGTTTATGTTAGAATGTTAGATCTAACATGTTTTCTAACATGTTTTCTAACATGGTCTAAAACTCTCGAAACTCATGAAATTTCATACGGAATTCAGTAAAAATAATGTTTATGTTAGAATGTTAGATCTAACATGTTTTCTAACATGGTCTAAAACATACAAAACTCATGAAATTTCATACGGAATTCAGCAAAAATAATGTTTATGTTAGAATGTTAGATCTAACATGTTTTCTAACATGTTTTCTAACATAACTATTTACAAGCGTTTTACATGGTATATGTTGCGATGGTTCATGACTCTAAACAATTTCGTAGCTTCTATTTCTTCTGTCAGTACATCGAATGTTTTAACGATACCGAAAGTTTCTTTATACTTCTTCTTGACATCAGATAGAAGGAAATCGTCAGCAGTTGGATAGTTTTTGTTCAGAAATGCTAACATGTCCATTTTATCTTCTGCTGGCTTTTCTGCTTCTTTCTTTAAGTCTGCATAGTCGTTTCGCATACGTTCTATCTCTTTGACGGAGTAGTTATATTTCCTCATTGCTGCCTTACATTTAGAACATTGCGGGTTCATTTTTGCGTTATATTCTGAAACCTTACCTGCTAAAACAACTAAGGCGTCAATGGTTTTCTTCATCTCGAACATAGCGGGTCTTATTTGTTCGTTCCATACCTTACCCCTACTATCTTTATCTCTTATTTCCCAAACACATTTTGCAACTAATGAAACAAAGTTGTCGTAGGTCTTAAATTCTTCGGATTTGTAAAGGTCAGAGATGTTCTTATATACCATGTCGCAATCTTTGTCCATAACCTTATGGTTGCAATGAAAACCAAGGAATTCATAATTTACCTTTCGTATGAACTTCTTTATTTCTACTGAGTCAGTTGCTTTGACTTCTATTTCGTCAAATTCGGGAATGGTTAGTTTTTGTTGTTGGATTTCAGGCAATTTGGGTAAATGGTCGATGAGGTCCTGCATGTCATAAAGATACTGTTCATTTGTTTCATCTTTCGCACTACAGTCTAAATTATTTGTTAAAAGTTCTTGCTTTATCTTCTGGATTTTTGTTTCAAAAGTATATGAAGAAGGAATGAAGCTTTTCATCTCTACCAACATTGACGTAGGATTCATGACTAAAGAGTTTGGTGAAGTTGTTGCTAACATGTTCTTACAATAAAAATAAAAAAATATTTTTTTAAAAAAACTAACTTTATTTTTTATGTTTTTTGTGAAAGTGTCAAAACTCATGAATTTCATGAGTTTTCTACGATGTTAGAAAACGTGTTAGAAAACGTGTTAGATCTAACATTCTAACATAAACTTTATTTTTTGGTGTAAATTTCATGAGTTTTCTACGATGTTAGAAAACGTGTTAGAAAACGTGTTAGATCTAACATTCTAACATAAACTTTATTTTTTGGTGTAAATTTCATGAGTTTTCTACGATGTTAGAAAACATGTTAGAAAACATGTTAGATCTAACATTCTAACATAAACATTATTTTTGGGTGTAAATTTCATGAGTTTTCTACGATGTTAGAAAACGTGTTAGAAAACGTGTTAGATCTAACATTCTAACATAAACTTTATTTTTTGGTGTAAATTTCATGAGTTTTCTACGATGTTAGAAAACATGTTAGAAAACATGTTAGATCTAACATTCTAACATAAACATTATTTTTGTCGAAAAAAATGGTTCATTTACTCACAATATTTATGTACAAAACGACCCCAAACTTTTAACTTCTTTTCTGCAGCTTCTAATGCTATCTTAGCGAGTTCATATTCTCTAAATTCTCTCTTTAAATCTTCTTGTTCCCATTGGTCTAGTTCGTATGGAGAATCTCTATAACCAGAACATATCTCACGTTCATGTTCTATTTGTTTTTCATGCATTTTTCTAACTTCTTGTTCGAACAAAGGTTTAGCATTCTCTACTGTATCTTCGAGTTCTTCTTCATCTAATTTCTCATGAACTTTCTTGTCTATGGAGTCCATAATTTTTCCAACTGCTATACAATATTTTGGAGAAGCCCACATTGCTATATAGTTTACAAGTCTTGGGTCTACATACGTTCCTCTAACCTGTTTGATTTCATCGGGAATTCCTGCATGAACTGTGTATAAAAAGCAACCCGCGGAATTCCGCGGGTTGGTATATTCTTCACAAAATGCCTTAAAATACTCTTCCCAGGACTTATTTTCCAACAACCTTCTAAAGTCTTTCCTAAACTGCTGACACATCTTTGTTGCATTTATATAACCATCCTTGTCTCTACGTAAGACTTCAATACCGTTGTAAGTGCCTTTTGTGAATGTTTCGCCATTAGATTTGTTCGTGAACGTTTTTGCTTCGACTGTCATACTGTTCTTACAATAAAAATAAAAAAATATTTTTTGGTGGGACGTCGGACATTCGTTTGTGGCTTAACCGTCGGACCACAACGATAAAAATCTCTGCTACTAGCAGTACTGCTACTGACAGTAGCAGTACTTTTACTGACAGTAGCAGTACTTTTTCTGACAGTAGCAGTACTTTTTCTGACAGTAGCAGTACTTTTTCTGACAGTAGCAGTACTTTATCGTCGAAAACCCTCTCAAATTTTCCTTTTTACTGCTCGTAGCAGTACTTTTACTGACAGTAGCAGTACTTTTTCTGACAGTAGCAGTACTTTTACTGACAGTAGCAGTACTTTTACTGACAGTAGCAGTACTTTTTCTGACAGTAGCAATGGTCGAGGTCGAGCCATTAGATGAGGCAATTTACCTAATTTAAATTAACGAGCTTGTTAAAGACTACTTGCGCAAGGTCATGAAGCCCAAGGTCAAGTTCACCACTATTTCTGGAAGGGCTGCCTTGACTCTCGAGATTTCGACTGGAATTCCAATTCAAATACAGACAAACACTCCTTTCGACGCCATAAAGCATGCAAAGAAGGAAGCCATTATAAAGTTCTTTGCCAAGCGTCCTTGGATACTACTTCCAAACAGAGAGAACCCTTTCCCAAGAATTCCCACATTTAAATTCAAATTCGAATAAAAATTTTTTATTTCATGCAATGTTTTATTTCTGTGCCGTCTTCAAGTATGCCCCAATATTTCCTTTTCGATATTACATGAACTTCGGAAAATACCTTATCTAGCTTAAAACAGCCCATCTTTTCACCAACCATACCCATTTCAATGAGTTTGTTATAGCCTTCTTCGTTCGTCATGAGTGCGTCAATGTTCTCATAGTAAACCATGACTTTCGATTTGACTTCCGAGAAGAATTTGTTGTAGTTGTCAAGGACTGCCTTTGCGAACTGAGGGTAAGACCAATGTTCGACAATAGGTTTTAATGTGGTTACTAAGCCACTTTGACCTTGAGTGAATTCGTACTTCAAAACAAAAGGAGAAAACCTTTCAACAAAGTTGTCGACCTTCTCATAATGTTTACTCTTCATCTCTTGAGGTTTCTTAATGGAATATCCCCATGTCGAATTCATAAGCAATTTGAGTGTCATTGCAAGTTTGGGGTTTGAAGCTTTCCTAATATCATACAGTTGTTGTATGACTTTTCCAACTGTATAGTTCCTTCCAGGGAACTCACCATCTTCGTTTGGAATTCCAGTCGGAATATATTGGACAAACTTCATGTACGCAGCGTTAAGGTCGACATAGTATATCTTTTCATCTGAGTCGAACTTGTCGCAACCTATGGGTCCAGTTCGTGGAAATTCAAGTGAGTCTCTTATCTTCTGAGAAACTTCTCCTGTTATCTCATAAACATCGTCGAAGCAACCTGTTTCATATAAAACCTTCTGACCTAACTCAGAAGCTCTCCAATACAATTTGACGTCAATTGGATGTCTCAATGGAAGTTTGTTTATAGCATCTTGAAGTTCTTGCAACCTCATTGGAAGTTCTTCTGGTTCAGGTTGGTATCCGAACAATCCAACTCCTTGTGGAATTGTGTACTTCTTTTGTACTAGAACTTTGTCTGGAACAACTTTTGGTCTTGCTAACAATGAAAAGTTTGTTTCGTCTTTTGGTACAAAAGTTTCTGTCAGCTTGTCATCTGGAATTGGTTCCAACAAACCTTTCTCGAAAAGAATGTTTACAGCTCTGACAATGTTGCACTTGCCTTTTCCGAACATAAGACTTTCGTTCAACATGAAGTGGTTGTGGACAATTACAATCTTCAACCATGGTAAGTCTTTGTCAACAACATAGTCGTCATGTGAAGAACCTTTAGCTGTAGGTATGTTGACTCGGATATTGACATTTGCCAACGGTGCAATTTTTGCCAATTGACCTCTGAGAATGTACCTTGTCTTCACACATGACTCAAGATACTTCATTTTCTCATCTGTAACAAGACCAGAGTTCCTGAGACATGTAAGAATGCAAGGTTCATTGACAATTGTTTCAATTGAATTGTAAATTCCATACCTTGTCAAGTCAATGTCAGACTTATTTATGAACGGGAAGTATCCAGCATGTTGTCTGACTGCTTGAGGGTTAGGTTGGTACCATTCAAACTTTACACTTGCAATTCCTTCAATTGCATTCAAAATGTCTGAGTCCGAGTCAGCCATTTGTTCTCTCTTTGTAGTCTTGAAAGCGTCAAGAAGCATTGCAGCTGTTGTGACATTGCCATGTGCATAGTATATATGACCATCCAAATCTGTTATAGTCAATCTGAGATTGTATCCTTTCTTATTTCCGTCTTGAATTGCAGCAAGTACTCCCATGAAGCCTTCTTTGTTCTTTCCTTCGTCAAAGTTTACTGTAAAGGTTCGACCAGATGTAATTTGACTTCTAACTTCACGGTACTTCTCATATGCATATCTTGTTCTTTCCATGGGAGCATGACCATCCTCTGCACTACCTTTTTTCCTTCTCAAAGGATGCAATTGTTCGTCATGTTTCCAATAGAATCTGGCAAAGCCGTCGTGTCCTTCAACCTGCGGCTCACTAACATCGAAAGGCAAGTTCATAAGACGCTCTTCTTCTAACCTCTCAAGTCTGTTTGGATAATTGGCGCGTGCTGTTTCAAGGTCCATTTCGTAGGTCAGACCAGCCAGTTTGTCATAGACTTTTATGGGTCTTCCCTTCCTATATTTAAACTTTTTCGAAACTTTCCAACCATATCTTTGCAACTCTGCTTTTATTCTAGCAGATTTTCTATCCATTCTATATGGGGGCATTTTTATAAAAATAAAAAAAATGTTTTTCCTTTACTTTACATAGCCACCTGCTATCATAAGCCTTTGACGCCAACCCATACCAGCTAATGAAGGTTGACTTGGTTTAGTTTGGAAACTAAACTTTGGTTTTGGTTTATCTTCAGTTTTTGGCTCCCCTTCTTCTATCGGTCTTTCGTCACTTTTTGGTTCCTCTGACTTTACCTCACTTGCAGGTATGGTTGTGTCGTTAGTATCTTCATAAATATCATATGCCATTTGTTTTTGTTTTCCTTTCAACTTTTTGTGTTTGTTGTAAAGTTTAGAATATTTTGACTCTAAGTCAATGAGATGTTCTATAATGAACTGTTGGTCAGTGAAGTAAACTTTTCCATCTGTTGTCTCGAAAGCTCCTTCAGACTTCAATATTTTATTTGTGAGAGTCTGTTTCTTTTTTGAGATACTAGCCGTTCCATTTCTATGAAAAGTGACTTTATAGTTAGGGTTTGTATTTCCAGACCTTGCACCTTCTATTATTGAATTTTTCTCTTCATCTGTAAGTTCTTTGACAGGTTTTGACAATGGTTCTGAACTTTTTGTTTGTGGTGTCAAATCTACCGTTTCAACTTCTTCGGTCATTTCATCTCAGTAAAAAATTTTAGTTTGGTTTGTTTTCAACTGGTTGTTGTTGTTTTTTAAGTCGGTCTAAAACTTCCTGAGGTATAGGGAGGACTTGACAAACACGTGGTTGTGTAACTGCTGGAAGCCGACAAATCCATCTTGAGCCCATTTGTCTCAATGCTGTATTGTTCATTTCATCTCAGTAAAAAAATTTACATTCCCCACGTTTGAGGCGGTTGAGGTTGGTTGTTGTTTACCCACTGTTGTGCATGGTTATATCCTCTGTTAAAGAATCTTTCACCTTGGTCCATGTAGTGTCCTGCTTGGTTATAGTAGTCATTTGCTTTGTTATAGTAGTTTCCTGCTTGTCTTCCTACATTGTCCATCCATCCTTGAACTTTTCCTCTTGTTTCAGGATTTGGAATAAGATTTGCTGCATCTCGTGCTACCTCCCAACCTTTCTGTACGGTTTGTATAATAGGTTGTGCTTTCTCTTTCAGTATACCTAATGTACTCAAAATCTTCCTTCCAATTCCAAATGCACCTCTGGCTAGTGTTCCCACTGCGGGCAAAAATCTGGATGCAACTCCTGCTAATGCGTCAAATAAACCCATTTCTTATAGGGTAAAAAATGACGAATCCAAACAAGGACCCCTATGTTTCTAAGGCAACAAAGAAAGCACTCATGATAAAAATCTTTAGTTCAACACCAAATGCTTGGTTTATGGATATCTTGGAAAACATTCCGAGAGTTAGAACAGATGGACCTCCATACTGGTTAATATTTGTTGGTCAAAACACAAGATACTGTGAAGCCATACCATTACAGTCCAAAAATATTTTAGATGTGAAAACTGCTTTGACAATATTCGTTGACAAATACCATCCAACAAAACTGACATCTGACTGTGAAAGTTCTTTCAAATCAGATGATGTAAAAAACTATCTGCGTTCAAAAAATGTAAACCAATATTTCATTGTCGACCAAAACCATTCTGCTCTTGGTGTCATTGACAGTTGTATAAAAATCTTAAGAGACTTAAACCAACCACAAGGCGGCGAGGTAGATGAAATGTCATATGACGACAAGTATAGACATTTCTCCATGGCAAAGATGAGACAAGTTTTAAATATTTACAATAGCCGTAAACAAAAAGGTTTGGGAAACCACTCCCTGAAGAATGAAAAACAACCCTGACTTAGAGAAAGACTATATATTTAATAGTTTAGTCAAAAGAGACAAACAAGAAAGAATGCCAGGCTTCAAACTTCAGAAAGGTGACAAAGTAAAAATAGAAATACCTAAACGCGACCCATATGAAAATACTATTGACTATGACAACAATGGGAACTCGACAGGTACTCGCATTCGTGTTCGTAAAAATAGAAGAAAGTATACAAGAGAATATTATGAAGTTTTAGGCAAACATGGCAAAATGTACAGACTGCAAGCAGAAGATAAAACTACTATTGTCAGACCTCGTTTCAAACTTGTTAAGGTTCAAGGTGTATACTTTCAAAGACAGTTCCTAACAAATATAAGACAACTCCTGACGAATATGCTAAAGAAGTTGAAAATGACGACTAAGCAATTCTATACCATGCACAAACTGTCATGTAAGGTGGCATGTATTTTTTACCTAGTCCTGTAGATGTTGTTGTAAAAGTATGTTGGTGGTTTCCTCCTGGTTCAGTTTGTCGAAAAGTCTTTTTTGCTGAATGGTTATAATCTGGAGATAAAACGTCATAGCCAGCTTCATACTCTGAGTTGTATAATGGGTGGTCTCTTAATGAGTGGCTATGGTCGCCAGAAAAGTTTGTTGTACCAGAATGACTATGTGGTGGCAAGTTGTCGACAGATATCGTTTTACTTCCACCTGTTTTCTTTGGAGTGTGTGCACAATACAAAAAACTTTCGAGTATTTGAGTCCAAGTTCCAAAACCAAGTACTACTTCTGGTCTGGTAGAGTTCATTGACGTATAAATAGAACCAACCGGGTAAATGGTTTGAAGTATTTCTGTCTTTAATGTTTGAAGCTCTTTTTTGTCTGCTTTCTTGTCATATAAATCTTGAGCAGTGAATTTAACTTTATTTTCATCCTCCATGACATAAACATCTCTACATCTAATGTATCTCATCGTTGTTATGTTTTTATCCGATGTTAAACCTTCTGGAAAGTTAGGAGGTTTCCAATCTAATACATCCCCACCAGTTTCTTCAACCGTTCCTTCAATATTTTCTATAGCAACAGTTGTAAAACTTGTATGTGTATGGTTCTTGTCAGCTTTGTCATCTAACTTTTCTTGTAAGTTTGCAATATTTGCAATGGTATGTGTATGTCCAACGTCACTTTTCCTGTTTAAGGTTTCTTGTAAGTTTGCAATATTTGCAATGGTATGTGTATGGTTCTTGTCGGCTTTAAGGTCTAAACACCCTGAAACCCATCCTGTATCGGCTTTAGTTTTTAAAATCTTCGATGTCCGTTCATGGTACCAGTCAACCCTTTCTTTAATTTCATAGTTAGTATACAAGTCTTGGGTACGGCGGCACTGCGTTCCACCTTACCCAATACTTGTGAATTTGACACTTTACAAAACCGTTAACGTATATTTTACAACATGAACGCAAAAACTAATTTAACCTTAAATATTTACAAAGCCGCCAACCACTTCACTAACGAACTCACTAATGTAAAAAATAAACGTTCTCACTATCGTTCTCACTAACGACTTCACTAATGTTCTCATAAATTTTCCTCAATATCTTCATCATCAGTGTTAACCCTATTGTAGTCATACTTGAAGCCATAAACTTTCTCTAACTTCTTAACGTACAATTTACATAACTTACCTTCGTCATCGTATGGTTTAATGATATAACTATTTCTATCTTTATACACAGTCAATGAAAAGTCAACTGGTCTCGGATGTATTTGAAAGAACATGTTATGCTCAGGAAGGAAGAATAAATGTTTAAATGTATGTTTGTTATACTGTGGAATTCGAATGAGTTGCTTTTGTTCTGTCATTTACATCCAAATAAAAAATTTCAGTAAACTTAAAAATAAAATAAAAAATTAATGATATCACCACCCGCACACGTATGAAAACATAGCACAAAAATAAATTTAGGGTAGAAGGTTAGATCTAACCCGATATCTAACCTCATTTCTACCCTGTTGAATTCATTGCTTTATAACTCTCTTCCTTGGTTTCTTTTTAGTTGCTTTCTTCACGTCTGTCTCCAACTTGACTGTCTTTCTTCTTCGTCCGTAATGATACCAGTTACTTCCACCAGTCAATGGGTCAAATGGTCTTTCGTAAGGATTTCCATACATTCCATAGGGACCATACGGAAGAACTACTGGTGGAGAAGAAACATTTTCTTTAGTTCCATCGAATCTATTTAAATGCATTGTTTCACCTTTCATCTGGTCATTAAAGTCTTTTGCGTGTTTTGCAAACTCATCGTCCTTTCCTAAAGCATTTTCTGACTCAGTCGCAACCAAATTGGATGCTTTATTTATGAGCCCTATTTTATTTAATCTTAACTTCTTTGCAACCCAGCCTCCAATCTTCCCTTTATTTGCATCTAATGTCTTCGAAACCCTTCCTCCACTCATTTTATTTACTGCGTCATAAGCCCCAAGTGCTTTTGCTCCAAATGCTAATGCTTTTGTTCCCATTGCGCCTAAAGCTGTCCAAGCTACCATTTACACCATATTAAAATCATCTCTCTTCAATATTATCTCATAAAAGTTCTCGTTACTGGAGAAAGTCAATGAAACATAAACATTCTCATTCATAAACTTCTTTCTTATCTCATCTATACGCTTCAAAATGTCTGAACAATTGCTAACATCTTCTACAACAGTTATTTCATCATGAATGACCTTCAAGAACAAGCTCATTTAATATGCTATTAAAATCATCTCAATAATGAGTCCATCCTTTCCATCTTTAGGTAGCACAACATCTTTCATTGAAGAAGGTTCGACAAGTCTTATGTTAAACTTACTGACAAAGTTTGTTATACTATAATGCTTCGGCGGCGAATACATGTAGTTTGAAAGACATAATATAGATTCTTCAGCAAATTCACTTATACTGGATTTTATAACAATGTTCTCACGAGACCAAATACCACCAATTGACAATCTTGTAAGCAATCCTGCTGAACCTTCTACTGTAAACGTCGATGGTAACATTCCACGAAGGTCATCTATTGACATCTTTGAGTCACTGAATTTAAATATTTTCTTAAAGCAATCGTCATTATCTAACCATGCAATAGCTTTGAAGTTTTCATTCGAATATACATCTGCTTCATTAAATGTAAATCCTGACTTCTTTGCAGAGACGACTTTAAAATCTATTGCATTTGTTTCAAAATTATATACTATGGTAACTTCTGAAGGTAATGGATGTCCTTCCGCAGTCAGTTGTTCTCTCACTACCGTTTGAAGCTTTGTGTTAAAAACTTTCATGTCATCTCCTGTGTCTAGGTTCACATACACAGCAACAGGAAAACTATCTTGCTTCTTTGTTTCATCATTATACCTCAAAACATTAAAGTTCTTCAATAATATTGTTCTTCCTGCTGGAATACTTCTAACTTGTCTTATTTCAATAGCTTTCTCACCTCCTACATACTCTACCCAGTGTCTTGGATATTCATAAGTATACTGACTTTCTTGAATTTTGGTAGGTTTCATCATAACGTGTTCATAGTATATCTTTATACTCTTGTCAGTTAGACTCGGTGCTATGTTCTGAATATTTCTGACTTGCATTTTTAATGAAGATAAAATGAAGCATTTAATACATGACGTAGATGAAGACATGAATGAAAGCAGTGAAAAGCTCAACAGTTCTCTCATTCTTCCTTTCAGTAAGGACTATGAGTTCTGTTCAAATGGTGTGTATTTCTATTGTGGAAAGATGGGTTCAGGTAAGACATTCAACCTCATTCGTCATATACTCATAACAGAGCGTTTAGGAAACGACTCTTACTATGACCAAATCATTATATCAGCAACTTCAGACTCTATGGATTCAACAGCGAAAACATTTATGTCAAAAGTTCAAGCCTCTGTCGTTAAAGTTCCAGACAGTGAACTCATTGAATTTCTTCAACGTTACATTCGACGTAAGAGAAATATTATGCTATTGTAGAGTTCATACAGTCAGGAATGCAAAAGACTTCAGAAGAGATGGAAAGAATTATTGACAAACACCACTTACGTCAATACTCAGGAGTTTACGATATGAAACGACTGACAAACTACATTCTGTCAAAACTTTCAAAATACCCCTTCAAAAAGTATCCTTCAAACACTCTGCTCGTTTGTGACGACTTCGCCGGAAAAGGTTTAGTGTCAAAAGCAGACTCACCATTAGCTAACATCATAACTAAAGTCAGACATTACCACTTAACTGTAGCAATACTTATGCAAACATGGCGTTTCCTTGCTTTAAACATAAAACGTCTCATAACTGACTTCGTTATCTTTCAAGGTTTCTCACGCTATGATATTGAACTCATTTGGAAACAGTCAGGTATAACATTACCTTTTGAAGAAATTTGGGAAGCATATAAGTCTCTCATCTCTCCTCGTTCATACCTTGAGATTCATATCATGACTAATACCATTAAAGTCAAAAATATTCCATGGGAACGACCAACATTGTTTTAAAGTTTAACCTTCAATTGACTGATGGTAAACAAATTCCATGCATCTCTGTCGCCATTTCTGTTAATATTTTTGCTGTCATTCATATCATCCACTTCCCCATCCGTTAGCTTTTGAGGATATGTGTTAGAATAGCTGTTCTTAAATGAAGGCTTTTCACCTTTGAGAGCATAAACTCTATAACTTTCTGCATACTTTATGTTTGAACCTCCTGAGCCATCATTGACATAAATTTTTATAGGCTTCCACCCTTTGTTCATATTCCTGCTTCTTCCCTTAGCTCTTTTGTTCAGTAGTTCTACATCTTTATACACAGCTCCTGTCTCAGTGAATTCAACAATATTTTCATTCGTTAGCTTTACATTCAAACCCTTGTCGAGTATATTGTTCATTTCATACATATAAAAGGTTTTTATTCTATATGAAATGAGAAGCAAATCCATCTTAGCTGGTGCCGTTAATGTTCCAATTGAACCAACATCAAATGTTGACTCACGAACGACAAACAATATTGTCATAAAGAACTATAGTTCAGAGTGTTTGAAAGAAAAAGAACCAGAGCTGAAATCCGTGAATTTAAACACAGCTTCAAACGCTAACGCTACATCAGATGTTAAGTTAGAGTATCCACCACTGGACCAAATTCTTTCAAGAGAAGCCAACGACAACCCTTACACAAATGTTCAAACAAATCCTTCAGATAACGTAGACCATTACCTTCTTCAGTTATACCAAACAATTTTACTCAAAGACGATAAGAAGCTTTTGACAAATCTTATAAGTAAGAACCAAATAATTCTAACAAAGGAGGACCTTGAAAATGTTATCTCACGAATAACAGGGAAACAATGTGTCATTGACTATCTCGACCCTGAAATCGAATGCTGTGGTCAAACGCCACCATTCATGAAAATAGGTAACATCCGCATCATTGAAATACCAGGTACTCCAGGAGTTGAGTTTAAGTATAAATATTCGAACGAGTATACAAAACTTTCAACAGAATATAAACTTTGCTTGAAATATGTTTTAGTAAATTAAAGCAATTTGTAATATCTATCCAAAACTTCTTCAACAGTATCGAACTCATCTTCATAATGCAAACCTAATCTTATTGACTTGGTGCAGTTTTCACTAACACAATATAGCGCTTTGCGCTCGGCGCCTTTGACGCCTTTTTCTGTTCTCTTGACTGACATAACTAACTCATTTGTTTCATCAAACAGCAACAACCAAAGTTCATGACCTAATACATAACATTCATACTTTATATTTTTAGCTCTGAGTTCTCTTGTAAGCTGTTGCATTTAATATTTTCTAAAAAGTCTACTTCAACAGTCATTCGCACTGGTGCCTTCAGTTCTACAGGCTCTCCTTGAAAGTCAACTAGTCTGAATTGCATGTCTTTCAAATTATGAGGACTAATGCGAACCCATTTACCTAAATGAGTTGCTATGACAGGAACGTTTGGAATGAACATTGAATTTACTTCATAACAGAAAGACTTATATTCTACTGAACCTTTACTATTAACTCCTGAAATACCTGTGACATTAGCTATTTTAGACTCAATGTATAAACAATTGCCATAACATACGTATGGAACAGATTTCATCTCAATCGTTTTGTCAACACTTTTCAAAGGAAATGTCATATGGTATGCTCCCAGAAGAAGTTGTACTCTATGACTCATTCTTGGTATCTTGAACTCTTTCTTGCTACTGAACTTCAATGTTCCCTCAGAAGAGAGTTCGACATCTATGTTGTCAATAGTTTCTTCATTTATGAGAGTATCTATGACTCCAGCAATTTTATCTATTCTGTACTCGGCTCTGTTAGGAAATGTTACAACACTTCTTTTGTCATCTATTTCAATCTCTATGAAATCTGTTTCATCTGTTATGACAAAAGTTGCGATAGTATTGAAGTCAACAACTCTGAAAGCAAGCGCTTCATTCTGAAGACCTAAGTTTGTTTGTAGCTTTACTGTCCCGTATTCGTTTGGGTCTGTACTTTGCAAATAGAACAACATTTTATTCTCATTAAAATATGACTATTGCTGCATATGCGTATGAAACAAATGAAGCAAGAAGAGCACATGAACTAGTAAACGAAAACTCAACTTTAACCATTGAAGGCAATGATTTAGTCATTGACGATGGAAAAACTAAAAAAGTCATTGATTTCGATACTTTTAACACTTATGACCCATTCATTACAACAAGCAAGGTTCCCATCATAAATGATGGAACGGTGCAATATATAAATTCTACAGTAGATGCCTCATTAGTGAAAGTATTAAATGTTCTCATTGAATTGTTAAAGAGCTTTCGATTTGACGACAACATTAAATGCCTAAAGAATTTAGTCATGAATGAGAAACAAATTCTCGGCGTTGCTGGTAGCAGTAATGATGTACACCTTATGACATTAGAATATTATAACGAACATAAAGATGAACTGAAAGGAGAGAAGGGTGACACCGGACCTCAAGGACCACAAGGAATACAAGGAATACAAGGAATACAAGGAATACAAGGAATACAAGGACCTCAAGGCGAAAACGGTTTGGATGGAAAGGATGGAAAGGATGGAAAAACTGCTAAATCATGGATATGGGACCTTATAAATACTGGTTTAACAGCTGCTTCATATGGAGTTCTTCAATACCAAATCGGAAAGATATGGGCGGTACTTGGTGAAGAAGTTTTAAATGACGTTAAAAATGCTTTGAACTTCATTTCAAATGGTTCGGATACTATTAAAACTTTATCTGGTTGGATGCAAGAAACAAGGAGTCAAATAGATACTGTAAGACGTATAGCAAACAATGCACGTACGGGATTGGATACTTTACGACAAGCACAAAATACACTAAAGGAAGCAAATGATATTCTTGGCTCAGTATCAGACATGCATGAAGATTGGCTTAAAGGTATTGACAAATCTTTAAAAAATCACAGTCAGTCTATTGCTGACTACAAGAAAAGTATAGATTTTTTACATAGTGCTATGGACGTACATGATGGAAGCATAAGGAACTTACTTAATGCTAACAATAACTTACCAGGAACTATTAAAGCATTTATAAAGTCCTTTGTAAAACCCGGTGCTCTAACATTTAGGTCTTTGAGAGCAAGAGCATTGAAGTCAAGAGATGCAGAAACTCCAACAGAACCTACAGAAGGAACTGAAACAACAGAAACTCCAGAAGAACCACCAAAACCAACAGCTAATGAAATATTGTTCGAATATTTTCCAAGGTACTCTGTTCTCATTGCATACATTCAAGAAATACTTAGTTACTCTGTTCCCCTTATTTTGACGTCAGGGTTTTTCACTACTGAACGCAACAGTTAAAGGTATTTGTCTATACATTTAATTCGGATAAAAAATAAACCAATTTACTCTTTCTTTGCTTCAGCTTCTTAGCTTTTGCTTCTTCTCTAGCTTTTTTCGCCAGCAAACGTGGGTTCTTCTGTCTTCCAGCAGCTAATGCAGCAAGTTGTTTTTCACTAAGTTTTTCTCTTTGGTCTCTCTGGCTTTGTTCTTGTTTTTGTTCCTTCAGTTCGGATAAAATTGCTCACGAATTTCTTTCTTCAATGCTTCAACATCTATGACCCCCTGGGTCTTGTCCGTAGGACTTGTCTGAGTCATTTGACTGCAGATAAAAAACAAAAATTAAAACTTTAACCGATGTAAAATGAGCTTGTCAAAATCAGAGCGAGAGTCTATTATATTAAATGACGCAAGAGGAATACAACATCCTTTCTATTATGTAAGTCAGAGTAAAGATGGTAAAATATACGTAAGAAAAAGAAAGGTTCCATTAGCGAATGCAGAGAGTGACAACATTAAGGTGCATAGCACCGAGGGTGAAGCCCATATAAAACCTTCTATTCAAACTGAAAAGTCAATAGAACAAGAAGAAAGAAGCCAGATGTTCTTTCAATAACGAACCAAGAGCTTATTGCAAAGTTCGTGAATTTCATTGAAAAACAAACCGAGTCAAAGAATCCTGACCCACCAGTGAAAAGAAGTTGAGACAAAAGAGAGAATGTACAGTTCATTGAAAATGTCAAGAAACAACTTCCACCACGAATGCCAAAGAAGAAGAGTGAGAATAATGAAGTAAATAGATATTTTTATCCGAAGTAAATACATGCAGAACGAACAGTTAAACGAATTTACTCCAGCAAGAGCATATTCATCAGATTCGCTCATATTTCGATATCATAGACAATGCAGTTCAAATTGGTGACACTAATAGAAAATATTCTGACGCAAAGATTCCATCACAACCTGGAACTGCTAAAGATAACACATGGGTAACATTCAATCTCTCACCTCCTGGTGAAAATATGTTGGACCTTTACAATACATTCATTACGTATAAAATGGAAGGTCAATTTATTGCAGATAAAGAAATTGGTTCAGGTTCCAAAAAAAACAAACCCACCAGGATTTTGGATTGGTTTCGATGACGCCTTTCT